GGATGTATATATCACATCACAATATTTTTGAAGGCCATCTTTTACTGTAGAAAGAATAGTAGTCAGCACTTTAGAAAGACGTTTAGATGTCCAGTATATTCTATTATTGAAAGGTTAAAAACGTCTGCCTCAATACTTTGATAAAACTGAATTTGAACATCAGTAAACTGCTTTCGCCTCAATTTACCTGTGTATCTAAAACCTACAAAAAGGCCTAGCAGAAATATTATTCTAAACTACACTTCAATGCGACAACTCTTCTAGTTCATGAACTGTGACAATTCGAGTGATGATTCGTGTTGTCATGTTGTTACAGGATATCTTAATATCTAGACTGAGAGGTTAAGATTATAAATGATGAAATATCTTCCACAAAAGCTACCGAAAGGAATGTCGTTAAGTCATCATTTTACTGAAAATCCTGGTGCAGAAGAGAATGCTGTCTTTGTGTGACACAAGAACTTTGTTGAGATACACACTCGAGTACTTTCTATTGAAGAGGAGATCTTACGTGAAAATACTTAAACGACTGAATTGAAACCTGCGGTGGTACGCCAGAAGATTCACAGTATGCAGTAACTTGTTAAATTACACAACAAATCTTAAACTTTTCGATTTATATTTGGATCTTGAACTATACTGTTCCGGTTCTTCTGACCTTATGATCTCACAATCGTTAAGGACCTCTTTATTGTGACAAAGCCTATGTAAATATGCATTTTGCGTATCACATTCTTGTCTTAAAAGGTGCACAAGTCTTCAAGTATTTGTACATCCTTGGATCTCGATTTTGTTTTCTTTAAGCGTTCATGATGAAGGTATCTCAAGATTAATGCTTCGAACGCAACATATTTATAAACGTTATTTTCATATTCAATTAAGGCAACAATAATTTACAGATGTTCAAATCTCAAAAATTGATTAAGAAGACAATTTAAAGCAACAAAAAAAAAAAAAAAAAAAAAAACTCGAAGGGATCTCATGAACTGCAAAAGAATCCAGACTGGTTATTTTGACCAGGCAAGTATCTCCTGATATGTGTATGCATCACTCTCCATGCGAATCAACGTTCAGTCATAATCGTAAATAGGACACAATCGGTGAAATTATAGATTAGACAATTATTTTTTTTATCTAAAGCTTTAAGACTGCAAAAACATGTTCTCCTCTTATATTTGATGCGTTTCCCTCAGTTTTAGTTTGTAACCCGGATTTGTTTTTATCTCTATCGATTTATGAGTTTCGAACAGCGGTATACTACTGTTGCCTTTATTTACAGCTGAGAAATGGGAAGTTGCTAATTAGAAAGTTGAAATCATCACGAATGTTGTAAATTCTAGTTTGAAGTTTGCCATTTGTGTCAATATCGAGGAAACGATCAAGAAATGATGCAGGCCTTCCAGTTTCGGAAGTATACTTAAACTCTAGTTCACTTGGATATGAGATTCAAGCACTCACTGAAATGTTGGTTATTGAGTGTCAGGACAATGTATCTGAAAAAGAAAGCAAATGTTTTTTTTTCTTTTGTGTCTTAGAGGTTTTGTATGTTTCAAATGAGTACAAAACAAATCATCCAGTAGGGTGCGCAATTAGTACCCATTGGAATACAGACAGTATGTTGAAAAAAAAATGTAAACAACACCTTGTTGAAATATCAATCCACCAAACTCAACAAATATGTTGTCGATCAAACGTCTAGCATTTTGATGATATCATCCTCATTGTATTTGATTTTTTTTAATCATTGCAATTCTTCACAAAATAAGATGTTTCATTACCTAAACAATAAATATGTCTCTTCCACTCCCGTGTTGTAGAAAAAACTATGTTAAGTGAGAATTTTAATCGATCTTTCGATTTAGCATTGGCAATAGCTGTGTCAAACGTAGAAAATCAAAAGTTTTGTTAAGACTGCAAAATTGTAAAAATTGTGGTTGAAGATTTTACAGTAGATATTTCGAATTTCTAGGGATCCATATGTAATTGACACTGCTGGTTGAATATAACTCATCACAATATTTCAGAAGACAATGTTGTACTGTAGAAAGAATAGTGGTAAGAACTTAAGAAAGATGTTTAGTCGAACATCTTGCAACTCGGCTATACATCGTTCTATATAAGGATTATTGTGAAGTTTATGTATCCAGTATAAAGACGGGAAATTTTCATCGTCTTTTTTCATGTTAATATCGATCTTCCAACTATTTTTTACAGCTTGGAAAATGAATATCGCAAGTTGGTAAATAAAATGCTATCCCAAACATAGAGACATCTCTATGATTCCATTTGGCGTTTCTTTTGGTTTTCCGTCGTTTGTTTTGGACGTTGCACAAGATCATATCTTCTTGTACTGTTTAAGACGTTGCTGCATTAAATCTTCTATGAATTGCATTAAACGATATCAAGTGCATGGTTACCCGAAAGTTGAATACTTTGAAATTGATTTCAGTAACTATGAAAATGTTTTAATACAATTTTGTTTAGTGTTTTTGTTATTTTAGAGTTAAAACCTTTCCTTTACCGGTTTTTATTGTATGTTCGTTTATGTACTGATTGAAATTAAATAGGTAAGGTTGAAATCTAAGAATTAGTTTAATCCCACCTCATTTTCACGCGTCTGTCTCAAGTCAGGAACCTCATCAGTGTTTTTTGTTATTTTATAAGACTCGGGACGATTTACCACATGACATTGTGTACACCATGTGTTGCCCTCTAGATATTGACGATTATTATTGTAGTAGGTTGATGCCTCATTAGGGTTTACCTTCATCTCCTTTTTGGTTCATATAAAAGCATGTGTAAAGAAAGCTTACTATGCTTCCCAGTTTTTTGGTTATCTTTTATTTTTTTGTAAAAGGGAAAGACTTGGTTGTTAGGATGGGTTATCAACCATAATTTGGTCAGGTGATCTAAAATAAAATCAATATATAAATAACACATAGCTGAGAGGGTGATAGAGCAGATTGTTACCCCGAGAAAATATTATCAACTGAGGCGAAGCCAAGGTTGACAACGTCTTTTCGAGGGGTAACAATCTGCTCTACCACCCTCTTAGATATGTGTTATTTAATTTATTATACTGAATGTTCTGTTATTACTGTCTATTAAATTTCAAATTCAAAGTAATAAACTATGACGTCTTGTACAAAACAACCATCCGTATTTAATAAAGCGCACACTTAATCAAGCGTCTCCCTGAAGGGAAATAGAGTATTTACCATAGGATAGAGTAAATTGTCTCCCTCGTATTAACCAATCAAAATCTGGCATTTTGACATGAAGTATGATTAAATGTATTGTCTGTTTTTTACTTACACTTAGCTGATCTCACTTCAATAATTTGGGCTTCTTATGTTCAATCTGAAGCATACCTTTTACAGCTTTCTAAACAATGGGTTATGGTAATTGTTGAAGTATGTATGGTGAACTGTAATTATTAACGTCCGTGTCCATTGGTTTTTAGTGGATTGTTGCCTCATTGGCAATCTACCATATATCCTTTTCCTAAATCAAGGATTGTTATAGATGTGTAATAATAAACAGAAACATTTTATGTGAAGGTGATATGTTGACGGAACAAATGTTATATTCAATTACTTTTTGTCGATCAACTTGTGACCCTGAAACTTTATATATGTATGTATAGTAGTATATCACTATGTGATCCGTGTAAACTCATCGAACCTTTAAACAAACTTATTAGTAAAAATTATATTACCTATGTTGTAATTAGATCTTTGAATATAGTCTACATTGGCACTAATATCGATTTTGTCATCAGCAAATTAAAACATAACTAAATTTGTATTATTTTCAAACGGGATGTATAAAGGACACACCCACGGTCATTTTGATCTATAAAGAGGTTAACTTCTAACTATCCTACTGTGTGTCGATACATTTTTTTTTGGCATTGCACAAGTCATGTCTTCCATTACTGTCCATGACGTTAAAATACTAAATCCCTGGGATGTGTTTTAGTTGATTTTAGTCTCTGATGCATGATTTTTTATTATTAATTGTTTTTGGCTTTTACCTAGCTGTCAGTAACTGCGAGTACTCTCAAATCGTACTTTCTTGTGTATTTGACCTGTTGATACTAATTGTAATGCTTTTTTGTTATTTAATGTTATTCAGGGTTATATCTGGTCTATATATATACCAGCTTTGATAAGTGTTTGGTATTACTATAAATTTTCACTTTTTTGTATTATGAACATCAAAATTATTTATTTTGTAAAAACATTTCCTTTCTCTATTTGAACTGTACACGTATACCTAACAACAAAATTATTTTCATTTACCTGTGTTTAAAGTAATTGCAAATGGCTGATATGTTTGTTCTAGCATATTGTTTTTCTTATAGTGTTTAATATTTCACAGCGGTATAACATGTTACTTTAATTATTCTTCCCTTAGGTTATTTATTTTGTATTTACATTGTGTCATAGGTCAAATTTATTTGTTCAGTGCATGTTCACTGGTGTTAATATGTCTTTTGATTGAGTTAAGCCATTTCAATTGATATTTTACAGTGTGTCTTTCTATGTTGTGATGTAACACTATTGTTTCAGATAAGGGTGAAGGTTTGGTACCATTAAAACGTTTAAACCTGCTGCAATTGTTTGCACCTGTCCTAAGTCAGGAATCTGATGTTCAGTAGTTGTCGTTTGTTGATGTGGTTCATAAGTGTTTCTCGTTTTTTATATAGATTAGACCGTTGGTTTTCCCATTTGAATGGTTTTACACTAGTAATTTTTTCGGCCCTTTATAGCTTGCTGTTCGGTGTGAGCCAAGGCTCCGTGTTGAAGACCGTACTTTAACCTATACTGGTTTCCTTTTATAAATTTTTACTTGGATGGAGAGTTGTCTCATTGGCACTCATACCACATCTTCTTATATCTATGTAACAATAGATGGAACCGTTTGAAATTTGTACCTAAGAGATAAAAAAGAAAGATGAAGAAGAGAAGAAAACTCAGATATAACAATACGTTTTGTTTCTTTTTATAACATTTATTTTGAGAAATCAACACATTAAAAAAGCATACAAATATTAAAACAAGCAAGTTTGGTCCTTATAACTAAAATAATAATAATACTGAAAATGAAAGACAAGTAATGATTGCATTAAATAAAAGACAAAACTCACATATTAGACAAACAATTAACAGTGGATCATACAAGAATCTCATTCTTGGCAAAAAAAGTTCTGTTTTCTTCCTTAAAAAATATAATTAAAAAAAGTAAGTACAATGGGTTACAACTATTTGTAGGAAACAACATTTAATAGATTTTTAGATAAAAAGCAAAATATTTAATTCCTTCATGTAAATAATACAGGTAATCAATATATTCTGTCCCAACTTTGAAACTATAATTTATTCATATACAGTAAAATTTCTATTAGCAGGTATAAATTTATGAAACATGAAAGTGTAGCAAATATTAAATTGTTTATTGCAATCAAAATAAGTAAGAATAAAAGCACTCAGTTCACTAGATTATTTAAATGACTGAAAACTGTAAGTTGCTTAGGAATCACCCAAGTTACTTTTGATTTTCAGAAACGAAATAAAAACCAAAAGTTTCATGTTAATCCTAGTTACCAGGGTTTATGGATTCATCTTCCTGGTTTGTTCTGTTCATCAAATGGCAAGAAACCATTGTATTTTTAATTTTGTTACCTGTAAAAGTTTTTAATGACTGAAAAAATAGTTTCCTTTCATTTGATATTACCAGAGTCTTAGAAATCTTGTTGTGACAAGGTGGTACAAAACAAAATTAGTGCAAAGATTAAAATACCCTTTATTGAAATGACTGAAATTATATCTGCATACATTTGTTTTCATGACATAAATCCAAGATATTGGTCTTTCAGATTACATCTTGACTGCCAAATATGATAGTTTCCAACCCTTGACTTAAACATTACAAGAAAATATACTGTCATGAACTTGGCCCCTCAAACAAATTGAATATATTTAATAAGGTTAAAACTCATCACATCATATATGAAACATGTCTTTGGACAAGGGGCTGACTGTTCACTCTTGTCTATAAACCTATAATGCAAATGTGAATTGAACTGATGTCTTAAAATAGACATGTTTTACAGATCTTTGTCAACTATAAAATTTTAACTTTTATGGCACTATTAGTATAAAGTATGGATATATGCTTTCTATAATTATTAACATCTCTCAAACAGATAAGATTAAACTTTTGACATCTTTAATCATGGATATAAACACAGCATTTCTTTATAATTTATATATTTATAATCTCATACATGTATATATGACACATTAATCTTAATACTTAATACACATTATCTCCTATATATTTCTAATAAGTCAGCTGAACAATATATATTCTTATAATATTCACAAAAAAACAAACATAGAGGGACTATCAACTTTGTAATAATGGAGTTCAAAGATATTTATTTTATTAAATGTAAGAATTCCGTAGCTTACATAACATTTAGTGTCATTGGATTGAATAACACAATTTTTATAGTCATATTACACAAAGAGATTAATGTCAACAATGAAAACTTGAAATTATAAAGTTAAAAACCCAATTTATGTATGCTGGTACACCATGTTTTTACAAAACAAAAGAAGATAAGCACATTGAAGAAAATATTTCATATGGCACATTTTGTTGGTTACACATCACCGGTATGTAAAAATAAAAAAATAAGAAAAAAAATAATATGTGAACTAATTAAGCTACAAAAAAAAATACCCTGTTTAAATTATATACAAAAAATTATACCATATATTCCAGACAAGATTACTTGGACTGTACAGATACTACAGATATAGTCCAGGCATATGCATATACAATGGTTCAGCTGAAGGTATAATAAATGATCCTTGCCAAGTCTGACAGATAAGAAGCATATGTATATTTATATAGTCTGGAACATATATATAAATAAAATTTATGAACATATGAACAAACATACAAAAAAAGAAAATGGCTCACAAAAAAATTGGACCCTGTTTTATCTGCAATGAAGATCACAAATTATTATCCTATAATCACAAACTCAAAAAACTTCATTGTATAGTTATTTCACATTTTTAAATAAATCAAACTTTCATAAAAATAAACTATTATATCTAAGTACTTATATTTCTATTCATAATAAGGCTTTAATAAAAATTATGTCTGCTAAGTCAGTTGGGTTGAGAAATTTTTTTTTCAAAATTCCAATGCAAACCCTCACACTACCTGAACACCCTATAACAAACTCTGAAGTAGAGGGCTGTGATTTTAGGGGGGACAGTGGGGAAACACTTAATAATGATTCTGTTCTTATGACAGCAATGGATAAAAACCTTTTGTTCCATGTTTTCTTGGACGGATATATTACAATATTTATGTACAAAGTCAAACACATATATATTACACACTAACTGATAAATATAATGGCACATTAAGAATTATTAACTTTTTGTTTTGATATGTAATAGAACATTAAAGAAATATATCAAAAGATGCATTTTAGGTTTTGTCTATTCCTAAGAATACAAAAATATGCTTGCATAGTTCAAAATGTCAAAAATGTCATGTATTATATTTTTAACAAAATAAAAAAAAAATCCATTTCATTCTTCATAGTAAACATTATATAATTACACCATGTTTTGTTTACTTAAGGTTTATCTATCAAACAGGTATCATATTAGAAGGTTTCATGTAATATTGAACTATAACAATTTTAGAAACCATAAAAAGCATGGTTCCATAGTCAACTGTGATATCCACTGTCACAAAGCACAACATTACATCAAGTAACAACTAATAACAAAATAAAAACTACATAGAAATATAAGCTAAGAAGAGTCAATTATTTGTGCTAATTAAATACAAAACTGCCATATGTATAACATCAATAAGTCATTTAATTTTCAACACCGAAGTGCAAATTGCACTTTAACCTCTAGCCTTTAAATCAATATATATACAATCAATACATATGACACATTTCACCTTTCTACTTAGATATCCTCCTAGCAATATTTTACTGTACATACATGTTCTTAACAATAAACAGCAGCTTAGTATATAATTATACAGATATTGCATTCAATGCTTGCTACTTTTTGAGTCGAAAATAATTCAGTGAAAACTGGTTTTAAAGTCACAAATTCCAGAAGAATAATTGCAATAGCCAACTAGTCAGTTATAGATTACTAAAAATTGAGCTAGAGATTCATATTTCTCTAATTTTTACCAAATATCAAGTTTTAAAAGCATTGAGGTTTTTACTAAATATTAAGCCAAACATTAAAATTTTGCAAAATGATGAAAATATAAGTATAAAATTATTTATTTCAAATTTCACTTGATATACTAGACAGAAGATAAATAAAGCAAGAAATAATGACTAAGCTTATTCTGGACGACTTTCTTCTTCCTGGTTTGGATCCTCTTCTGTACGGCTGTAAAATTCTTCATCCATTTCCTGTACACGTCTGGACTTTTTCTTCCTTTGTTTTCTCTCTTGAATTCTCTGTGGTGGTGGTGGGAATTTATCACAATCAACCACACAACCTTTCTGGCCATAATGGTTAAGGAAATTTGCCCATACATCATTGCATTTAAGCAACTTCTGATTACCTAAAATCAAAGAGTGAAAGCATTTGTTAAAAAGTACAATAGAAATTATATCAAACAATTAAAATTAAAAAAAAATCCAAACAATGATCTGGTTGGATCACAAAAATCAAAAGCAATTTGATTTTACCACCTTATTTACAATAAATCAAACAAAATTGACCACTTTCAAGAAAGCTGATTAACAAAATATTTGATTGAATTGTAATAATACTGACATAAATTCCATTTTTTCCTTGATTCTTCAGCATGAAAATCAAACCCTAAAAAATATGTTAATTTACCTTAAAAATGTAGACATTTTATGTTTTTTATTAACTCACCAACGACAATCAGTCCTTTACGTGCTCTAGTCAAGGCCACATTTGTTTGATGTTCATCAGTGATGAAACCAAGATTCTGTTTACACCAACCCAATGTTGGCTTTGGTTCTATTCTGTAATCTGGTAGGGATCTAACAAGGCTTATCACTACATAGTCCCATTCACCTCCTGAAATTCAAAACATGTAAATGTTTAACATCTTTTTATATTCTACTGAAATATGTTGTTAGTGTAAGGTGAAAAAATGCATAAACATTTCTAACTTAGGTAATCAGACACATGATCACAGAAACATTTCATACAATTATTATTTAAAAAAAACTTTGTTTAAGTTACCCTTGACAAAAATCCAAAGATTTTTTTTTTACAATTTTTAGAAAGACAATTAACTGTAAACTTTTAAGAAGTAAAATCCAACCTTGACTAGCCACTACAGTGTTGACATTGAATTGTATAAATTTGTCTTTCTTCAGTTCCTGTCTGATACTGTGACACTGTGAGTTGTATTGACTCATAATGTTGATATAGTGGGGATCTATCAACTCATCTTCTACCAAGTGCTTAAATACTTTTACCTGAAAAAAAGAAGAAAATTGAAAATTAAGAATTGTATTTTTTCAGAAAATATGTATATACATATATGCCAATTTGTTTTAGATAAGGGGTATTTAGAACTTGATATTCTGTTCAAACATCTCTAGAAGACCTTACATTGACTTCTAACATGTATGTAAGTGTTTTTGTATGTATGAGTTGTTGTTAAATTGATATATACCCCACTTCTCCTTTACTTAATACAAAAACAACAATACATTACTTCAAATATTTTATGAATCTGTATCACACCAGAATTAATACAGTGGAGTTCAGTCTTTCATTGTTCTATAGTAATTTTATGTCAGGGTGAGTGTTGCAAAACAGAACCCCAATTAGGTTATTATTTCTATGCAAAATATATAACCAGAGGGACTATTTGTCAAATATTTAAAAAGAGAAAATTACATCTGTCTAACAGTAACTAGAACTCAACTAGTATAGAAGTATTTTTAAACTAAACTATAAGATCTTATAGTGACCCTTTCAGCTAATTTGTATATTTTCAATTTTCAAGGAAATTTTATCATGCAACTTATCATGAGGTAAATTAGCAACAAACCTGTATTATGTAACATTTACTATTGATTTTTTAAAGATTTCATTACAAATTTGTTGATTTATTATGAACTTGAAAGGTTGTTAACCATAACTTAAATTATTGTCCAAACCATTGATTTTCATGAAAGCTGTTGAAAAATATCAGATGTTTAAATTAGGTAGAACTCAGGTAAATTTGTAGTCATAGGAATTTTACTTGGATGTATTTAAACAGAAATCTATATTGCAAAACTTGGGAAAACACCTCTATGGATCAATTTTAACCCTCTCAAAAAAGGGACATCAATATATGTTATAAAGCTTACCACTTGGTCCACTTCCTGTTTATTTGAACATGACTGTTCATTTCCTTCTTCTGTGTTGAAGGGGAGATATTCCTCTGTTCCTTCTACATGACAAAATATGACTGGGGTATTCTGTTTTAACCATGACTTGAGAGGTGAATCTGTACGCCATGTATAAGATGGCATGGTCTCAAGTCTGTTTTTGTAAAACTGCTTTGATGGAAAGGCACAAATCTCTGGATGCTGCAAACATATGAAAATTAAGATAACACATTTTTCAATAAACCACTGATTAATAGCAAAAATTATAGATTTAAACTGAGGGAAGCATGATAAATTGTAACAACTTGTGGGTCTTATCATAATTTTGAGGTTTTACGGCTTTACAATACGACGAAGTTACACTCATTTTGATGTTTTGAGATATTTTTTCAACTAGAATGACATTTAAATTGACTGATGTTTACCAAAAACTTTGTCAGGGACCTCATTATCTTTTTTCAAATCATTAAATGGAAATTTATTTGGCAACAACATATTGATTTTTACGTACTGGGTGTAGTAAAAGGATTTTTTTAAGATACTTTTTTTGACAAAGTTTTTGATAGATTTACAAATTAAGATGAAGGATTTTCAATCAATAATATATATTATCAGCAAGAAAGACAGTTTAACAAATAATTTTGTTAAGACTTTCAGTTAGAGTTCATCATGCAAAAGTTGTATGCAAAATTTTATCAAAACATGTGGCATAGCTCTTTTACTGTTCTTGACATTTTAAAAAACTTCAAAGTATCAGCATTAATAGAAATTAAGTAGGTGTCCAACAGTTCCGAAAAGTCCTCCCATATTACAACTTATCATTGTTTAGGTGTTGACCAAATGTGAAGTCTTTCTATTCTGTATTAGCTGAGAAAAGTGTGATGGAAATACTTGGACAGAAGGAAGAATTGACAGATGAGGTGAATGCCAAATTCAGCTGAAAACAGCATAGTTGCTCCTTAAAACTGAAGTGAAATAAGTCAATTATTAGAAAACTGTTTTAAAGTTAAATGAAACTACATGAATGTGTTTAAATCAGATCTGTTAAAAAATATTAGAGTGATAATGGTGTAAAAATCATTCAATTCTGAGTTGTACTAAATTATAACTTACCATTCTGTATTGTGAAGTCAACATAGTCAACATTTTGCCCTTTTCAGCATATCTTTCAAATAATGACTTCTCTAATCCAAGTTTGGCAGCATTGCTACTCATCACTATTGGTCTTAGCTGTTTGTGATCTCCAATAAGGACTACCTGCTGAGCTCTGGTTGCTATGATGGCAGCCATACTTTCAGGCTCTGTACACATTCCACATTCATCGACAATGATCTGGAAAATACGACCATTTGTACCAGCCATTATTCTAAGGTTGGTTGCCATAGCAGTTGTGCAGAATATAACATCATAATGTGAAACTTCTTCAATGACAGCTTTGTGTATAAGCTTTCTGTATTTATTCACATCTTTGTAGTCAACACCATCTGGATGTTGCCGGAATTGTCTGTCAAAAGCAGTTATTTCTTCCATGTATGGTTTTCCCAGTTGACGAATCTGTATATGCATGGAATACTCCCTCAATTGTTCATCTGCAACTGCTCTCTCTCCACGCCCAAGTGTTGGTGTTTTGCCTGGAATAGGGAATTCCTGATCCTCTATAGAACTTCCATACCATCTGACCATCTTTGGGCAATGTTCACCTAACTTTCTTTTCATCCATTCTAAAAAACAGATCAAACATATTTGCAAGCTTTGTATGAATTCACTGGAATTACAAACTCTACATTATGATAAAATGGTTATATCACAAGTTAAAATTTACAATTTCCATGTGGGTCTATCATTTTTACCTATTTTATCTGGAATAACATTTTGCCTTCTATCAAGTTTGAGCGGTTTCAAAATCAAGGTGAAAATAATATCAAAAACATTTAAGATATTTATACAAATTGATATTTGATAATGGTCAAAGTCCTTTGATTCAAAATTTGGGATAATTGAATATATATTAAATTAGTTTTTTAAAAGCCCCCTCACCCCTAAGAAAAAACAAAACAAACTAGAAGCTCTAAAGAGCCTGCATCAATCACCTAGATCTATGTGTATCTTTAACAATCCACACTTTCCAACATTGTAGACTAGAAAATAATTCAAAACTAAAATTTTTTTTTTGTTGATCTTGAATTTAAATTTTTTTTCTGTTTAGTTTCTCTATCTTCTATAGTTTTTGCCCAATACACAAGAAAGGGTATAAATCATCATTTAAGGGGAATAACTCCAATGAGAAGAAAACTAACAATTTCGTCTATACTGACCTATTTGAAGATCTGGTCTATGTTTGCTTTTTTCTAATAATGTTCAAAATCAAAGACAAAAACACCAAAAAAAAATTGGTAAAAATCATCATTTAAGGCAATTACTCCTATAAGGAGTCAACTGACAATTTGGGCAATGTGGCATATTTGTAGATCTTGTCTTGTTGATTGTGTTTGCTATTGTAAGTGTGTATCTATTTATTACAGTTTTCAAGATAATAAGCAAAAAGTAAAAGTGAACAGACAATGATGATGGAGGACGGACCTTGGACGCCAAGAGAAAAGGCTCTTAACTCGTAATAGAACATCTTGTTAATAATCTTTACAATTTTCTTTGGTCCATTAGATCTTTACTTACTTGCAACTAGATCCACAGATTTATTAGATGGCCCACAGAAAATAATCTGTTTCTTCTCATTGCCCATCTCCTGCCATTTCAGGTTGATCTGGTTAAACAGGTAAACTAACTTGATGCCTGTGTACGTCTTTCCAGTACCTTAAAGTGAAGAAAATTTTTGTCAGATGTATTTCTGCAAGATTGCAGTTTATCATTTTTTGGCAGTTCACTAACTAAATATAAGTCCCCCCAATTGTCAATTAAGATTTCATACATATGTAACACTCACAAATGTCTCCGATACTCCTGTCGCTCAAATGTGTCATAAAAATCCCAAATTGCCCAAATGTGTCCGATTCACATCCCTCAACCATGTCCAATATTTGTTATTCGCCAAAACATGTCCACTTTAAAACAATAGAACGTCTCAAAACGTTTAGCGATAATATGTTCTCAGTGAAGTCAACAACATTTATGGCATTTCAGTGATGGTGGACACGATTGAAGACGTCTGGTTTTGGTTGCAGGATTTAAAAAAAAAGATCAAAGCCACTATCCAAGGACATCTGAAGAAAAGCTGTAGTAATGCGTGTAGGCAAATGTCCAAGACATAGTACACTATATCCACAGTGAAAGATGAAATCACTGACTTCTCTTTCAAATAAACAGACACCAGATAAGAAAAAGAATAGCACAATAGAAATTTATTTTTTTATTATATTGATAAAAAAAATAAAACCACTGCAAGTAAAAATAAATTTCTATTGGATTGTTATGGTTTTAAATTTTAAACTGAGGTCATATGGACACATTGGGGGAAATCGAATACATTTAAGGGGATGGACACATTTCTGAGTGTTACACATATATCTTGAAACAACCCTTACAGTTTTATATGATTACTTTATGTAAACAAAGGACGGTACTTGCAAGATAAATATACCAACTTTTAAATTACACATTCATTCATGTTCGTTAAAAACGTATACTCCAAAATTTTTGTTGAAGAATGTTAACAAATTAATCATAAGACTTAAGTGGTCTGGATGAGGGATGGATAAATACCCTGTCACGTCAGGTCTGTGTTTACGTTTGATGTTTTTCTGCTTTGTATCGATATGATGAGTTAAGCCTTTTTCAACTGATTTTTATAGTTTGTTCTTCTGTTGTGCTGCTACACCACTGTCCCAGTTTAGGGGGGAGGGTTTAGCTCTCACAAACAGGTTAAACCCCGCCACATTCTTTATGTGCCTGTCCCAAGTCAGGAACCTTTAGTTCAGTGGTTGTCGTTGGTTCATGTCTGTCATATTTGTTTTTTTCGTTAACTGTTTTGTTATAAATTAGGCCATTAGTTTTCTCAATTGAATTGTTTCATTTTTTTCATGTCGGGGCCTTTTATAGCTGACTATACGGTTTGGGTTTTCTCTCCTTATTGAAGGCTGTACGGTTGCCTATAATTGTTTACATCCACTTTATTTGATTTGTCTCATTGGCAATCATACCTCATCTCCTTATTTTTATATTCATATGCTTGTTTGATAATTAAACCATACCTGGTGGTCCTTGTATCAGACTAAATGATGATTCCAATGCTCTTTGGATAGCATTGTATTGTTTAGGGTTATTCCTCACAATTCCATCTATGTTCATAATATCTGGTTGCATCTTTCTTCCAATTTCAAAGTGTCCTTTATCTGAAAGGTAAAAATATTACTGTTCAGAAAACAGACTTCATAGTATAAAAAATGTTAATTTTTCATTTGGTATTTTGAAGGTATGAGACATATAGAAGGCCCATTACATCTTTTATGGATACTGTACAGCTTTCTATACAGTATTGTTTTTTGCTCATTGTTGAAGACCATACTTTGCTACATCCAATCTTTGGTCTATGGTGGGTAGTTGATTCCTTGGCAATAATACAACATCTCATTGTTCTTATATAGTTGATTTTAAAAAAAAGATTTATGAACAGAGTTTTTAGTTTTCATATATAGGTTTCCCTTTTTTGTGGATTCATTATTATTCGTGGGATACCAATTTTTTGGGGGAATTTGTAGGTATTGTTAAACCACGAACTTAAAAGCTCAATCAGACAATGAAGTACATGTTTTCTATAGGTTTGTGTTCAGACTCAGGCAAAACCACCAAATCAAATACCATTGGAAGTACAAGTTCTCCTCAATCTAAAAAAACTGGAACCCAAGAAAATAAATGAATCCACAGTACCACACTTAGGCATAGCCTTAGGACTGAACATCTCCCAAAGGTGGATACTACATTTCATTTAGGAACAAATATATTTATATAAAACAAAGAATATATGTGTCCATAGGAAACCTTGCCCAACTCGCACTATCATGTGTCCCTGTTCAGTGAACCATAAAATCGGGGTCAATGTTTGTAATTTGGCATAAAATTTGAAAAGTTTGCCTCACAATAAACATGTTGACTACGTTTCAAGGTTATATGACCAAACAATACTTCATGGTTAACTACTTTTAAAAACACAAAACTCTAGCCTGAAAATAAGCTAATTTAATACCATCACATTTCTATGTTCAGTGAACCATGAAATTGGGGTTGAAACTGCAATTTGGTATATAATTAAAAAATTTATGATCACATCATAATGAATATGGATTGTGTTCTGTTTCAAGCTGATGTGACCATTACTTCATGGTAAACTACCTTAGCCAAAAACTTTAATCTGATATCAGACAGTGGGATGGACGGACAAGCAGACTACACACAAACCAGAAAACATAATGCTCCCTTCTGTTATAGGAGGGACATACAAAATAGAATTTAATAAGATAACCCACAACTTAACACAATATACAAGGTCTGAAGAAATTGTGACCTAAAACTTTTTGTCATTACTTACCAAGCTTAGGAATTTTGGTTCCCAATGCTATTGCCTTTGGAAGAGGATTAGCTTTGTCCAAACACTGAAGAATACCATCAATTCGACTAGAAAAAACAAAAATATACAAAAATAACTTCAACAACACAGTTCAAAATAAGAGTACATTTACAACATTCCTTTGTGGTAAACATTTATCTTTTTTAGATATGTATTTATTTTGTATTTACATTGTATCATAGGTCAAATTTATTTGTTCAGTGTATGTTCACTGGTGTTAATATTTCCTTTGATTGAGTTAAGCTATTTCAGTTGATATTTTATAGTGTGTCTTTCTATGTTGTGATGTTACACTATTGTTTCAGAAAAAGGGTGAAGGTTTGCTACCATTAAAACGTTTAAACCCTCTGCAATTGTTTGCACCTGTCCTAAGTCAGGAATCTGATGTTCAGTAGTTGTCGTTTGTTGAGTTGTTTCATAAGTGTTTCTCGTTTCTTGTTTTTTATATAGATTAGACCGTTGGTTTTCCCGTTTGCATGGTTTTACACTAGTAATTTTTGGGGCCCTTTATAACTTGCTGTTCGATGTGAGCCAAGGCTCCGTGTTGAAGACCGTACTTTGACCTATAATGGTTTACTTTTATAAATTTTGACTTGGATGGAGAGTTGTCTCATTGGCACTCATACCACATCTTCTTATATCATTTTACAAAGAAAATCTTATATAGTAATGAGGATTTGAAATAGATCTTTCTATTAGAGATTAGTGTACTTTTTTTTCCAAATCATTACTATATATTCAGTATCTAATTATGCGCAAAAAAATACAATTGTACATTCCTTCCACTTGTGTATGATTTCTTAAAAATTAATTGTAATATATTTACAATGACAGATTTATGCTTAGGAATTCCTAATGATCCTAGTATTATATATGTTACGTTAAAAAGTTCAAACAAGTATTAAACATTATTAAATAAAATACAGATATGAATATTCTTCATCAGCAAAATTAGTATATGAATCTATGTCTTTTCTGGTTCATTTTATTGTTGGATTGCTGTCTAGTTGACACATGTTTCATATATTTTGAAGTCATATTAACAAAAAAGCATACATTGTACATATAGATTTCTTATGTACAGATTGACATATTGTAGAGTCTAGAGACATGGCCTGTCTATTATTGAAGACATACCATGTTGACCTCTATATGTCTTTTGTGCCCCACTCGCATTATCATTTTCTATGTTCATTGGACCGTGAAATTGGGGTCAAAACTCTAATTTGGCATCAAAATTAGAAAGATCATATCATAGGGAACATGTGTACTAAGTTCCAACTTGATTGGACTTCAACTTCATCAAAAACTACCTTGACCAAAAACTTTAACCTGAAGCAGGACAGACGGACGGACGAACGAACGAATGGACGCACAGACCGAAAAACATAATGCCCCTAGGTGGGGCATAAAAATCAATACATTTCTAAAAATAAATTGCTCTCAATGTGTATAAAATATTTGCCACGGACCTTAAATTTTGATTGATTGTTGCTTGCTTATTGTCCAGCGGCCAATTTTCTAGGATATTCAGGAAGAGAACAAATTAACATTGTAGCTAGGTTCTGCATTATAGGTCAACCAGGTTAAAGGGTGGGAAAATAGGTAGTGTCTGATAGGGTTAAGATTTTTGCCTAGCTACAAGTCAATTCAATAGAGACTGTTGTTGCAAGGGTTCTTAATAAGAAGACAGCATGACATTCTTTCCACATTAGGCATTTAATTTAAGTCCCAATCCCATCAGACATGGCTATCATATTTCAAAATCCCTCACAGCTAAACAGACCCCCAACTTAAGCAAGAGTTTGACTGCCATTCAGGAGGTCCAGGGCTGGCCATGTTTCTAAATCCCAGTCAAACTTTGGACTCCAGGACGTAAAGCAACCAACAATTAATCAATCAATCTATAAAAATATCAAATTTTGAAAATGTAACAACTCGATAAACTTACCAATCAGCACTGGACTTGAAAAGAACTTCAATTCCACATCTAGGTTTAACGTCATCTTTCCTGAAGTCGAATGGAACTGGCTGGCTACTTTTGTGAAGCTTGAAGATAAAATCAATTTTCCCTTTTTCTCCCTTCACATTAACTCGTTCTATCTTTGCATGTCCATGCCATATCCTGTAACCTTGTGGTGCACAACCATGTGTGTGGCCAAATTCATTACCCGGGACTTCCCCGTCACCTAAGTATTCCACACTTTTAATGCACAGATAATCTGGACTGGCTACTTCACGGATCCCTTCTTCTTCATCTCCTTCTTTATGCTCTTTACCTGGATTAAGATAAACTTCTAATGGAACCTTATTGATCTCTATATTTCTCTGTTCCAAGAATGCCTTTCGAAGTGAAAATTTCCCCTCCCTTTGTGATAAAAACTTGACTGGGACATCGTTAATGGTAGCAGTGCCAACATTGATAGCATTGGTTGCTGCCTCCATTTCAACCAATGGTTTCCATGTTCTGATGTAGTCTGCTGGTCTGTGGTAAAAGTCCTTTGTGGAGTCTGTTGAATATTTCTCAAGGTACTTGATGGGATCTTTCACATGTAGAAGACAATATCTGACATTTTTGGTCATATCAAAGATTTCTATCTGGGGAATAAGGACACCTTTGACAGACTCAGCTGACATTTGAAGTGCTAACACCTGACCATGGTTAAAAGTCATGCTATATTCACAACTCTGTAAAGTTATGGTACCCTTCCTGACCTCTGAACTTACATCTCTTTCAGTCTTGAAACATGCTGGGATATATTCTTCCAGATTAGCTTCAGGGTGCCCAAGATCACCATTGAAAAAGATTTTTTCAAGCTTTTTTAGTTTTCCATGGGAAGTTTTTTCATCAATAACTGCCTGTTGTAGTTGTTTCCATTTGTTTTGCTGCTGGAAGAAAGCCCTGTTGTGTGGATTTACTCTGTAAATTTTATCTTCTCCTTGTCGTTTTATTGGTGCAAAACCATTATATGAGTATAACCTTTTCTTCCATTGTAACTCTAGTATTTCCCTTCCATTGTTGGTATCTTTTTTAAAAACAGGTTTTTTGGTAGATCCAAGGGAGTTTAACTGCAAAGTACAAGACTCTTTTGGTAAATTTCTATGACCTGGTATAACCACAGTGACCTCTTTTTCAGACACTGTTTTCACAAAACCATGGAAAACAGTTGATTCTTTTCTTAACTTGTAACCCCAATTTAAAGCTCTGCACTTGTTTTGATAAGCTTTAGCACGACGTGTAACTTCATTTATGTGATGGCACATATCTGATATTTCCTCAGGGGAATAACAAGGCTTTTTCTCATCTAAGGCACAGTGCAGCAGTCGATGAGAGATGATATCAACATATCTCCTTATTGGTGAGGTGAAATGAATATATGGAAACATTCCAAGACTGAAATGAGAGCCATCTTTCTTGGTTGCACCCTTTGATTGTATATCTCCAGAACATTTGTATTCAGCTGTTTCTTGAAATTCATACCATTCCTCAAGGCCTAAACAAGCAAAGGGATGAATTTCGTCACACCCAAGTATCTGCATAACAGTTGGAAAATCTTTTCTACGAAATGCATAATGGAGTTTGTTCCAAACATGCTGCTGAAACATCAATACTCTATTGTATCTTCCAGTTCTAGCATTATTGACAGACAATTTTCTTTCACTTTCAATGGCTGGAAGTGGACGCACTTCTTGCAGTTTAAGAATCAAATCAGCAAAGAAATCATTTGAAATTAACCACTGCTGGACACATTCTGGTTCTGGTGGCTGCTGTATTCTCAAAGGGACACAGTTTTTAAATTTACGAAAAAGGTATGTACCTATTGTATGGTTTGCTAGTATCATAAATTCTTCTACCAGAAAGTGTGCTTCTTTTGTCTCCATAAAATCATCATCATCAGTTTCTATAGGAACATGATACATGGCACCACCCAATCTTCTTATTCTTCTACTTTCAGCAATGGTGAACAGATTTTTAATTTGTTTGCAAATACTGTCCGAGACATTTCTTCCAATGTTCAAAAGTACATCTTGAGCTTCACGATAAGTCAATTTTTGTCTGCTTCTGATCACAGTTTTCTTTATCTCATGCTTTTCCAGTGGTTTTCCTTCTTTGTCACATGTGAAAAATATAGAGATGACTGGTCGAGGCTGTCCAGGTATAAGGCTGCAAAGATTGGTACTTAAAGGCTCGGGTAGCATGTGGTAAGGGTTACGACCTTGTCCTGGATAGAAAGTAGTGGCTCTATCATAAGCCTCACAATCAATATAATCACCTTTTTTAATGATGGCTGTCACATCAGCTATATGAACTCCAATTCTGTAGTTTCCTTCAGAGTTCTCTTCTATGCTTAAGGCATCATCTAAGTCTCTAGAATCTGTTGGGTCTATGGTGAAAACCTCAAGGTCAGTCAAATCTTCTCTTTCCTCTTTTTTTACCAGTTTATGTCCTTGTTCTTTTAACATTTTAACTGTTTCTACAGTTTCTAACTTGTAGCCTGTTGGCACTTGGTGATGCAATCTCAATATCTCCATCCCAGAGTTCAAACCATCTTTGGCATTGATAACCTTGATGACTGCCCCTAGTGGGTACAAATTCTCCCAACAGATCATTGCAACTAAGAAAATATAATTCTTAATTTCTCCTGGTTTTATATCAAAGAGTTCTTTATGAACCAGATATCCTTTGTCTTCAATATATCTGTAAACATCAACTTGGTACTTGTTCTGACATTTTCTGTTCAGGATGTGGAGTTTTGGGACAGTTTTAGAGATTGGTAGCATGAGGTGAAATTCCGATTCATCCAATACACACACAAATACAGGATGATCTATATCAGGATGGTGATGACGCTGTTTAACTCCTCTGATCTGGCCAAAAACTTTCAAGCTCATTTTGGATAAATCTAAAGTTTTCTGTAAACGTGGGATATAATTTTTGTTCTTGTATGCATCCCTTTCATCCTGAAGGACTTCAACATATACTTCGTCTTCATTAAAAACTTTTCCAATTTTAGACCTGCCAGATATTTCTATTTCTTGAATGTCATCAGAATGGTCTAAGTTGGTACATACGGCTCCATGAGATGATTCTATCCTCACTTTACATTTCTTAAACTTCAGAGGATTACGCCTGCACAGTTCGGCATTCTTTTCGTCACTGTAAAACTCTGGGTAAGTAAAGTGATTTTTATTTTGGGATGGCTTTCTGTGTTCTTCAATAAATTTATCAGACAGGCTGATTCCTTGTAATAAAAGACCTTGTTCATCTATTTCATCAGAGCCATCATCAAACTTTCGTGAACTTTTCTCAAATTGGTCTACATTGGAGAAGTCCTCCAGATCAGACTCATCCTCACTTGATGAATCAGGTGAACCAAACCAATCTGACCTTGACATAGTGTCAAATTCTTTATCCGAATCAATGTCTGAATTTGCATGGGCCTCTGGTAATGGTAGTTGTTCTGAATCTTCTGATGCTTGGCTGCCTGTTGACGATGCCGTTAGGTGACGTTTCCTACCTCTTCGTTTCTTTGGAAGCTCTGTCCATGTGGCATTTATATAGTCTTGACTCTCAGAATTTCTTTTTGCTGAAATAAAAATTGAATGATATACTATAATATGCTTTAACTTTATATGCACAGCATAAACAAAAGTTGTCATTTTATCAATATCTAACACAGAATTTACCACATAAAGGATTTTTTAGCTATAAAAGACAATAAAATGCTTCGCTGGGCGCAGCTTGATACGACCGCAGAGGTCGAACCCTGAACAGTTGGGGCAAGTATGGACACAACATTTAAGCTTGATACAGCTCTGAATTTGGATTGTGATTAAATATTTGACACAGCATAGGTTTCTGACACAGAAAGAATGTGGTCTAAGAACTTCAATTTTTTTAATTTACCTATTATGGTCCAATGTCCAAAATCAAAATACATGGTTAGATTCAGCATATCAAAGAACCCCATATATTCAATTTTTGTTGAAATCAAACAAAGTTTAATTTTGGACCCCAACTTGGACAAACTTGAAAACTGGTCCCATAATTAAAAATCTAAACAAATGTTTAGATTCAGCATATCAAAGTACCCCAAGAATTCAATTTTTGTTAAAATCAAACTAAGTTTAATTTTGGACCCTTTGGACCTTAATGTAGACCAATTTAAAAAACGGGACCCAAAATTAAAAATCTAAAAACACGGTTAGATTTGGCATATCAAAGAACCCCAATAATTCAATTTTTGATGAAATCAAACAAAGTTTAATTTTGGACCCTTTTGACCTCAATATGAACCAATTTGATAGCGGGCCCACAAAATAAAAAATCTAAATACATGGTAAGATTCAGCATATCAAAGAACCCCATATATTCAATTTTTGTTGAAATCAAACAAAGTTTAATTTTGGACCCCAATTTGGACCAACTTGAAAACTGGGCCAAAAATCTAAAATCTAAATACATGTTTAGATTCAGCATATCAAAGAACCCCATATATTCAATTTTTGTTGAAATCAAACAAAGTTTAATTTTGGACCCCAACTTGGACCAACTTGAAAACTGGTCCCATAATCAAAAATCTAAACACATGTTTAGATTCAGCATATCAAAGAACCCCAAAAATTCAATTTTTGTTAAAATCAAACTAAGTTTAATTTTGGACCCTTTGGACCTTAATGTAGACCAATTTAAATAAAATGCTCCGCAGGGCGCAGCTTGATACGACCGCAGAGGTCGAACCCTGAACATTTGGGGCAAGTATGGACACAACATTCAAGCTTGATACAGCTCTGAATTTGGATTGTGATTAAATATTTGACACAGCATAGGTTTCTGACACAGAATGAATGTGGTCTAAGAACTTAAAAATTTTAAATTGGACATTCACCTATTATGGTCCAATATCCAAAATCTAAATACATGGTTAGATTCAGCATATCAAAGAACCCCAAGAATTCAATTTTTGATGAAATCAAACAAAGTTTAATTTTGGACCCCGATTTGGACCAACTTGAAAACTGGGCCCATAATCAAAAATCTAAATACATGTTTCGATTCAACATATCAAAGAACCCTAAAAATTCAATTTTTGTTAAAATCAAACTAAGTTTAATTTTGGACCCTTTGGACCTTAATGTAGACCAATTTGAAAACAGAACCAAAATTAAGAATCTAAATACACGGTTAGATTCGGCATATCAAAGAACCCCAATAATTCAATTTTTGATGAAATCAAACAAAGTTAAATTTTGGACCCTTTTGACCTCAATGTGGACAAAGTTGATAACGGGGCCCAAAAATCAAAAATCTAAATACATGGTTAGATTCAGCATATCAAAGAACCCCATATATTCAATTTTTGTTGAAATCAAACAAAGTTTAATTTTGGACCCCAATTTGGACCAGCTTGAAAACTGGGCCCATAATCAAAAATCTAAATACATGTTTAGATTCAGCATATCAAAGAACCCTAAAAATTCAATTTTTGTTAAAATCAAACTAAGTTTAATTTTGGACCCTTTGGACCTTAATGTAGACCAATTTGAAAACGGAACCAAAAATTAAGAATCTAAATACACGGTTAGATTCAGCATATCAAAGAACCCCAATAATTCAATTTTTGATGAAATCAAACAAAGTTAAATTTTGGACCCTTTTGACCTCAATGTGGACAAAGTTGATAACGGGGCCCAAAAATCAAAAATCTAAATACATGGTTAGATTCAGCATATCAAAGAACCCCATATATTCAATTTTTGTTGAAATCAAACAAAGTTTAATTTTGGACCCCGATTTGGACCAGCTTGAAAACTGGGCCCATAATCAAAAATCTAAATACATGTTTAGATTCAGCATATCAAAGAACCCTAAAAATTCAATTTTTGTTAAAATCAAACTAAGTTTAATTTTGGACCCTTTGGACCTTAATGTAGACCAATTTGAAAACGGAACCAAAAATTAAGAATCTAAATACACGGTTAGATTCAGCATATCAAAGAACCCCAATAATTCAATTTTTGATGAAATCAAACAAAGTTAAATTTTGGACCCTTTTGACCTCAATGTGGACAAAGTTGATAACGGGGCCCAAAAATCAAAAATCTAAATACATGGTTAGATTCAGCATATCAAAGAACCCCATATATTCAATTTTTGTTGAAATCAAACAAAGTTTAATTTTGGACCCCGATTTGGACCAACTTGAAAACTGGGCCCATAATCAAAAATCTAAATACATGTTTAGATTCAGCATATCAAAGAACCCTAAAAATTAAATTTTTGTTAAAATCAAACTAAGTTTAATTTTGGACCCTTTGGACCTTAATGTAGACCAATTTGAAAACGGAACCAAAAATTAAGAATCTAAATACACGGTTAGATTCAGCATATCAAAGAACCCCAATAATTCAATTTTTGATGAAATCAAACAAAGTTAAATTTTGGACCCTTTGGACCTCAATGTGGACCAATTTAAAAACAGGGCCCAAAATCCAAAAACTTAATACACGGTTAGATTCAGCATATTAAAGAACCCCAAGAATTCAAGAATAAAACCCCATTGAAATTGATCAAGAAATAAGCAATTTATACGAAGTATCTTCTTTTGCACAATACTGTGCAATTGAATATTTCTTGCTATTGCGCAATACTGTACAATTGACAATTTCTTGCTATTGCGATATATTGTGCTATTGGATATTTCTTGCTATTGCGCAATACTGTGCAATTGAAGATTTCTTGCTATTGCGCAATACTGTGCAATTGAAGATTTGTTGCTATTGTGCAATACTGTGCAATTGAAAATTTCTTGCTATTGCACAATACTTATTAGATAATAATTTACACATCCTGTTTGGTGTGTATCTCCTACCATATCATTATTATTTGCTTTTAAATATTAATCAGAAATAACCAACTTAAAATGGAAAATTTTAAAAGAAAAAAAAAAGGAAAAAAAGAAAAAAAAAGAAAAAAAAAAATCCCCCCCCAAATTTTTTGAACCCCCTTATGATTCATCACCCCCAAACTCAATCCCAGCCTTCCCTTTGTGGTATGGTACCTTGCAGTACAATTTCAGAGAGATCCATACACTTGAACACAAGTTATTGTCTGGAAACTAGAAAAATGCTTATTTTTGGCCCCTTTTTGGCCCCCAATTCCTAAACGTTTAGGGCAATTACCCCCAAACTCAATTCCAGCTTTCCCTTTGTGATATGGAACCTTGTAGTACAATTTCAGAAATATCCAAACACTTACACACAAGTTATTGTCATGAAACTAGAAAAATGCTTGTTTTTTGCCCCTTTTTTGGCCCCTAATTCCTAAAATTTTGAGGCAATTACCCCCAAAATCAATTACAGCCTTTCCTTTGTGATATGGAACCTTGTGGTACAATGTCAGAGAGATCCATACACTTACACACAAGTTATTGTCTGGAAGTTACAAAAATGCTTATTTTTGGCCCCTTTTTGGCCCCTAATTCCTTAACTGTTGGTACCATAACCCCCAAAATCAATCCCAACCTTCCTTTCGTGGTATTGAACCTTATGGTAAAATTTCATGGAGATCCATTCACTTAAACTAAAGTTAGAGTGCGAAAACCAATGTGTCTTCGGACGACGCCGGACGACGACGACGACGACGACGACGTCGACGCCGGACGACGACGACGCCAACGTCATACCAATATACGACCAAAAAATTTTTAATTTTTGCGGTCGTATAAAAACGGGACCCAAAATTAAAAATCTAAATACACGGTTAGATTTGGCATATCAAAGAACCCCAATAATTCAATTTTTGATGAAATCAAACAAAGTTTAATTTTGGACCCTTTTGACCTCAATATGAACCAATTTGATAGCGGGCCCACAAATAAAAAATCTAAATACATGGTAAGATTCAGCATATCAAAGAACCCCATATATTCAATTTTTGTTGAAATCAAACAAAGTTTAATTTTGGACCCCAATTTGGACCAACTTGAAAACTGGGCCAAAAATCTAAAATCTAAATACATGTTTAGATTCAGCATATCAAAGAACCCCATATATTCAATTTTTGTTGAAATCAAACAAAGTTTAATTTTGGACCCTAACTTGGACCAACTTGAAAACTGGGCCCATAATCAAAAATCTAAACACATGTTTAGATTCAGCATATCAAAGAACCCCAAAATTAAAAATCTAAATACACGGTTAGATTTGGCATATCAAAGAACCCCAATAATTCAATTTTTGATGAAATCAAACAAAGTTTAATTTTGGACCCTTTTGACCTCAATATGAACCAATTTGATAGCGGGCCCACAAATAAAAAATCTAAATACATGGTAAGATTCAGCATATCAAAGAACCCCATATATTCAATTTTTGTTGAAATCAAACAAAGTTTAATTTTGGACCCCAATTTGGACCAACTTGAAAACTGGGCCAAAAATCTAAAATCTAAATACATGTTTAGATTCAGCATATCAAAGAACCCCATATATTCAATTTTTGTTGAAATCAAACAAAGTTTAATTTTGGACCCTAACTTGGACCAACTTGAAAACTGGGCCCATAATCAAAAATCTAAACACATGTTTAGATTCAGCATATCAAAGAACCCCAAAATTAAAAATCTAAATACACGGTTAGATTTGGCATATCAAAGAACCCCAATAATTCAATTTTTGATGAAATCAAACAAAGTTTAATTTTGGACCCTTTTGACCTCAATATGAACCAATTTGATAGCAGGTCCACAAATAAAAAATCTAAATACATGGTTAGATTCAGCATATCAAAGAACCCCAAGAATTCAATTTTTGGTGAAATCAAACAAAGTTTAATTTTGGACCCTTTTGACCTCAATGTGGACAAAGTTGATAACGGGGCCCAAAAATCAAAAATCTAAATACATGGTTAGATTCAGCATATCAAAGAACCCCATATATTCAATTTTTGTTGAAATCAAACAAAGTTTAATTTTGGACCCCGATTTGGACCAACTTGAAAACTGGGCCCATAATCAAAAATCTAAATACATGTTTAGATTCAGCATATCAAAGAACCCTAAAAATTAAATTTTTGTTAAAATCAAACTAAGTTTAATTTTGGACCCTTTGGACCTTAATGTAGACCAATTTGAAAACGGAACCAAAAATTAAGAATCTAAATACACGGTTAGATTCAGCATATCAAAGAACCCCAATAATTCAATTTTTGATGAAATCAAACAAAGTTAAATTTTGGACCCTTTGGACCTCAATGTGGACCAATTTAAAAACAGGGCCCAAAATCCAAAAACTTAATACACGGTTAGATTCAGCATATTAAAGAACCCCAAGAATTCAAGAATAAAACCCCATTGAAATTGATCAAGAAATAAGCAATTTATACGAAGTATCTTCTTTTGCACAATACTGTGCAATTGAATATTTCTTGCTATTGCGCAATACTGTACAATTGACAATTTCTTGCTATTGCGATATATTGTGCTATTGGATATTTCTTGCTATTGCGCAATACTGTGCAATTGAAGATTTCTTGCTATTGCGCAATACTGTGCAATTGAAGATTTGTTGCTATTGTGCAATACTGTGCAATTGAAAATTTCTTGCTATTGCACAATACTTATTAGATAATAATTTACACATCCTGTTTGGTGTGTATCTCCTACCATATCATTATTATTTGCTTTTAAATATTAATCAGAAATAACCAACTTAAAATGGAAAATTTTAAAAGAAAAAAAAAAGGAAAAAAAGAAAAAAAAAGAAAAAAAAAAATCCCCCCCCAAATTTTTTGAACCCCCTTATGATTCATCACCCCCAAACTCAATCCCAGCCTTCCCTTTGTGGTATGGTACCTTGCAGTACAATTTCAGAGAGATCCATACACTTGAACACAAGTTATTGTCTGGAAACTAGAAAAATGCTTATTTTTGGCCCCTTTTTGGCCCCCAATTCCTAAACGTTTAGGGCAATTACCCCCAAACTCAATTCCAGCTTTCCCTTTGTGATATGGAACCTTGTAGTACAATTTCAGAAATATCCAAACACTTACACACAAGTTATTGTCATGAAACTAGAAAAATGCTTGTTTTTTGCCCCTTTTTTGGCCCCTAATTCCTAAAATTTTGAGGCAATTACCCCCAAAATCAATTACAGCCTTTCCTTTGTGATATGGAACCTTGTGGTACAATGTCAGAGAGATCCATACACTTACACACAAGTTATTGTCTGGAAGTTACAAAAATGCTTATTTTTGGCCCCTTTTTGGCCCCTAATTCCTTAACTGTTGGTACCATAACCCCCAAAATCAATCCCAACCTTCCTTTCGTGGTATTGAACCTTATGGTAAAATTTCATGGAGATCCATTCACTTAAACTAAAGTTAGAGTGCGAAAACCAATGTGTCTTCGGACGACGCCGGACGACGACGACGACGACGTCGACGCCGGACGACGACGACGCCAACGTCATACCAATATACGACCAAAAAATTTTTAATTTTTGCGGTCGTATAAAAACGGGACCCAAAATTAAAAATCTAAATACACGGTTAGATTTGGCATATCAAAGAACCCCAATAATTCAATTTTTGATGAAATCAAACAAAGTTTAATTTTGGACCCTTTTGACCTCAATATGAACCAATTTGATAGCGGGCCCACAAATAAAAAATCTAAATACATGGTAAGATTCAGCATATCAAAGAACCCCATATATTCAATTTTTGTTGAAATCAAACAAAGTTTAATTTTGGACCCCAATTTGGACCAACTTGAAAACTGGGCCAAAAATCTAAAATCTAAATACATGTTTAGATTCAGCATATCAAAGAACCCCATATATTCAATTTTTGTTGAAATCAAACAAAGTTTAATTTTGGACCCTAACTTGGACCAACTTGAAAACTGGGCCCATAATCAAAAATCTAAACACATGTTTAGATTCAGCATATCAAAGAACCCCAAAATTAAAAATCTAAATACACGGTTAGATTTGGCATATCAAAGAACCCCAATAATTCAATTTTTGATGAAATCAAACAAAGTTTAATTTTGGACCCTTTTGACCTCAATATGAACCAATTTGATAGCGGGCCCACAAATAAAAAATCTAAATACATGGTAAGATTCAGCATATCAAAGAACCCCATATATTCAATTTTTGTTGAAATCAAACAAAGTTTAATTTTGGACCCCAATTTGGACCAACTTGAAAACTGGGCCAAAAATCTAAAATCTAAATACATGTTTAGATTCAGCATATCAAAGAACCCCATATATTCAATTTTTGTTGAAATCAAACAAAGTTTAATTTTGGACCCTAACTTGGACCAACTTGAAAACTGGGCCCATAATCAAAAATCTAAACACATGTTTAGATTCAGCATATCAAAGAACCCCAAAATTAAAAATCTAAATACACGGTTAGATTTGGCATATCAAAGAACCCCAATAATTCAATTTTTGATGAAATCAAACAAAGTTTAATTTTGGACCCTTTTGACCTCAATATGAACCAATTTGATAGCAGGTCCACAAATAAAAAATCTAAATACATGGTTAGATTCAGCATATCAAAGAACCCCAAGAATTCAATTTTTGGTGAAATCAAACAAAGTTTAATTTTGGACCCTTTTGACCTCAATGTGGACAAAGTTGATAACGGGGCCCAAAAATCAAAAATCTAAATACATGGTTAGATTCAGCATATCAAAGAACCCCATATATTCAATTTTTGTTGAAATCAAACAAAGTTTAATTTTGGACCCCGATTTGGACCAACTTGAAAACTGGGCCCATAATCAAAAATCTAAATACATGTTTAGATTCAGCATATCAAAGAACCCTAAAAATTCAATTTTTGTTAAAATCAAACTAAGTTTAATTTTGGACCCTTTTGACCTTAATGTAGACCAATTTGAAAACGGAACCAAAAATTAAGAATCTAAATACACGGTTAGATTCGGCATATCAAAGAACCCCAATAATTAAATTTTTGATGAAATCAAACAAAGTTAAATTTTGGACCCTTTGGACCTCAATGTGGACCAATTTAAAAACGGGGCCCAAAATCCAAAAACTTAATACACGGTTAGATTCAGCAAATTAAAGAACCCCAAGAATTCAAGAATAAAACCCCATTGAAATTGATCAAGAAATAAGCAATTTATACGAAGTATCTTCTTTTGCACAATACTGTGCAATTGAATATTTCTTGCTATTGTGCAATACTGTACAATTGACAATTTCTTGCTATTGCGCAATATTGTGCTATTGGATATTTCTTGCTATTGCGCAATACTGTGCAATTGAAGATTTCTTGCTATTGCGCAATACTGTGCAATTGAAGATTTCTTGCAATTGTGCAATACTATGCAATTGAAAATTTCTTGCTATTGCACAATACTTATTATATAATAATTTACACATCCTGTTTGGTGTGTATCTCCTACCATATCATTATTATTTGCTTTTAAATATTAATCAGAAATAACCAACTTAAAATGGAAAATTTTAAAAGAAAAAAAAAAGGAAAAAAAGAAAAAAAAAGAAAAAAAAAAAATCCCCCCCCCCCCAAATTTTTTGAACCCCCTTATGATTCATCACCCCCAAACTCAATCCCAGCCTTCCCTTTGTGGTATGGTACCTTGCAGTACAATTTCAGAGAGATCCATACACTTGAACACAAGTTATTGTCTGGAAACTAGAAAAATGCTTATTTTTGGCCCCTTTTTGGCCCCTTATTCCTAAACGTTTCGGGCAATTACCCACAAACTCAATTCCAGCTTTCCCTTTGTGATATGAAACCTTGTAGTACAATTTCAGAAATATCCAAACACTTACACACAAGTTATTGTCATGAAACTAGAAAAATGCTTGTTTTTTGCCCCTTTTTTGGCCCCTAATTCCTAAAATTTTGAGGCAATTACCCCCAAAATCAATTACAGCCTCCCTTTGTGATATGGAACCTTGTGGTACAATGTCAGAGAGATCCATACACTTACACACAAGTTATTGTCTGGAAGTTACAAAAATGCTTATTTTTGGCCCCTTTTTGGCCCCTAATTCCTTAACTGTTGGTACCATAACCCCCAAAATCAATCCCAACCTTCCTTTCGTGGTATTGAACCTTATGGTAAAATTTCATGGAGATCCATTCATTTAAACTAAAGTTAGAGTGCGAAAACCAATGTGTCTTCGGACGACGCCGGACGACGCCAGACGACGACGACGACGACGACGCCGACGACGACGCCAACGTCATACCAATATACGACCAAAAAATTTTCAATTTTTGCGGTCGTATAAAAACACATATATGAAGCATGTACCTCACATTTTCAACTTGAAATTAAAAAAATTATATTAGTAAATATTAGTGAGTTGTGTATTGTATTTTTGTAGCTTTAATTTCCATATAAAGTTCTTATAATATTACCATTACAGCAGAGATGATATTTAAATCATACTGAAAATTATGATAATAACTAATCACAGTTGTCTGTTTAGGCCGTAAACTACAGATTTATTTTAACATTTAAATGTTTTAGAGGCAACTGTTATGGGCATTGTAAGTATTACAACATCAGTTTTAAAAAGCTACCAAATACATCAGAAGTAAGTTTGTTTTAAGTTTTACTATCCTTTTATTTCCAATTATAAAATTAAGAAAATATTTTTTGTCACATAGGCTATGATAACTGGAATAATTTGTCTTTGTAATTGTAACATTAATGAAGATAAATTGATACTTACGACGGCGACGTGCTGTTCTCTTATGATGTTTTGCTTTTGCTTCTTCTGCCTGTTGCCTTTGCTGTAAAATATGTAATAGTCTTCCTTATGTAGATTTTGAATTGCAAACACATGGAATAATAAAATTTATAAAAATCATACCGGTAAACTGACTTTCTACAACCTCACTGTTCCAAATTAACATTTGTTCATACTGACTAGAAATCAATCCAAGTTATTGATTTTCATTTTCTGGTAAAGGGATTTGAATAATTTAGAAACAGGATTCAGTGAAGACACAATATTTACCAACTTTTGATCCAAAAAAAAAAAAGAGAGAAAGAAAAAAATAGAAGCAATCTGACCTGCTGACCCTGTATATTTTCTAGTAGGCAATCATACAAATATATGTTTTAACCCATTTAAAAGCTGTTGAATATAGACAGTATTAAAATGTTAGGCAAAGCTGTCAACAGTCGTACAATAGCTTTAATTTTCATAACAGCTTTATGTTTAACCTGGGACCGTTAAGTTAATTCTGGTACAATGTACCTTATTTTGCTTATAAGCCTTTGCTTGTAACTTCTATCCCTCAAACTAATTGTAACATCAATATTTTTATATATTAGTTTACCTGTTCAAGGGTGCTATAATTAGACCCTCTAACATATTCATCATCACTGTCTACTGTATCATTGGCAGGTTCTCTATTCTCATCCTCCATCAGATTAATCTGTGACAGCAAACATTTAGCAGCATCTTTATCTTCCTATAATTTGTACAAATTTTACTGTACATGTGTACATAGTATTTGGTCAAACTCAAAGATAATGTGATTTAAGAATTGAAAATCTGCATTTGTATTTCAATATTCAAGTACCATAAAAAACAAGAGTGCACATGCAGTGAATGAGTGAAATGTCTCGCCTGCTTTACTGACCATTGATTTAATGTTGAAAGTCTTAAGGATAAAGGTTTTACTATAAATATCACATAAACTTAACATTTTTAAAGATCCATGACAATGAGGTCAAGGTCAGAAAAATCCAGTCAGACATGTACACCTTACAATTATTCCATACACCAAATATAATTGACCTATTGCTCCTGGTAATTGAAAAGAAGACCATAACACAAGAACTTAACATTGACCAATGGACCATGAAAATGAGGTCGAGGTCAGATTATATATCTGCCATACAGACATGTACACCTTACAATCATTCCATACACCAAATATAGTTAACCAACTGCTTATAGACCCTTTGCTTATGGTACTTGAAAAACAGACCAAAACACAAAGACTTAACACTGACCCATCAACCATGAAAATAAGGTCAAGGTCAGATGAAACTTGCCAGACTGACATGTACCCCTTACAATCATTTCATACACCACATAGTTGACCTACTGCTTATAGTATCTAAGAAACGGACCTTATTACGTAACTTTAACCTTGATCACTGATCCTTGAAATGAGGTTGAGGTCAGGTGAACCCTGTCTGACAGACATGTAGACTTTGCAAGGAACCCATATACCAAATATAGTTACTCATAATAAGTGAGAAATTCACATGACAAAAAAACAAATTTTTTTTTAAGCAGTCGCTGAACCATGAAAATGAGGTCAAGGACCATGAACATATGACAGATAGAAACTTCGTATCATAAGGTATATACAAGGTATGAAGCATCCAAATCTTGTACCTTCTGAAATATAAGGCTTTATACAAATAGTTTACATTGCTGTCTCCGGATATTAATACTGATGTCTCGCTTACTGCAACTTTCATCGCAGGCGAGACAAAAACCAAATAAGTAAATGTGATTTCTGCTCATTTTTAATATTTTTTTAAGCAGTCCCTGAACCATGAAAATGAGGTCAAGGACCATGGACATGTGACAGACAGAAACTTCGTAACATAAGGTATATATACGAGGTATGAAGCATCCAAATCTTGTACCTTCTGAAATATAAGGCTTTATACAAATAGTTTACATCACTGTCGCCGGATATTAATACTGATGTCTCGCTTACTGCAACTTTCATCACAGGCGAGACAAAAACCAAATAAGTAAATGTGATTTCTGCTCATTTTTAATTAGACTTTTGTATATGTTGTAGTACAATGTGATATTTAAAATTTGAAAGCCATCCTTTTGCATTTTCAAACTTATATATAAAACAATGCAATTATTTCTGCATTTACAGTGCCAAGTAATTAATCTTTAAGCACTCCATTACATCTACATTATGAACTCTGTAAAAAGACAATTTTTATTTATTCTAAAAAATGAAAATGTAATCTCACTTTTTTAAACATGTTTTCTGAAGTTGGCATTATTAAAATTGTCTGATGATATCATAAGTTAAATCATATTGGAGTTCAAAAAAATATCTTACATAAAATTTACACATGGAATTATAAACATGAAATAAGTCTTAAAATAAAAAATGTTATATTAATACAAAGTTAATAATGTTATTGAAAGATAAATACCTTAGTAAAGACCATCTCTAAGCCTTGTTGAATTTTTTTCCTTGCGACATCAAACTTCTTTAGATTCCCAAGGGCTTTACTCCAAGTTTGGAAAAAATCACCTATCATCGAACTTCCTATTGTAACAGGAAATTTTGTGTCAACTGTGATAAATAAAAGTCAATTTTAATCTTTTTTTGATAAGTATCTATACTACTAAAATAACAAGGTCCAATTTGTGAGCCGGCATGACGTAAAAACGATGAATCAATGAATTCAACTTTATATATAACTAATATAGGACAATGGTGTTATTTAAAAATGACACCATTCCAGGCCCTTTTGTTTTCCACATAATTAATATTACCAATAATTAACAAGTTCCAGGTTGAATCTGATATCGATACCAATAGGATATGTCACATGTAGTTTCCGGTTGTCGTTACCTTCTGTAAATCCTTCCTCTATCATGAGAACCTGGAATTCTCCCAGTAGTTGTTTTATATCTATGTTACACCATAGTACACTATTTAACAAGTCTGTTTTCTTCAACCTCAATTCCACTATTAATTTTGGTTAATTAGTTAAAAAATTAAATTTAGTTTATAGTAAGTTTATTGTAGTAAGAAAACCAGGACAGGTTCAAACAGAAATATTTTGAAAGCAGAGAAAACTGTACACCTTACAATCAGCATACTTTATCAGATGACAATATGAATACTAAAATAATTTATTGTAGGCTAAAATTAAGGCATAGATACTTTAATTCAGTCACGGACACGCGATAAATATAAAAATAAGAAGAAGTAGTATGACTGCCAATGAGACAACTCTCCACCAGAGACCAAATGAAATAGATGTTAGCAACTATAGGTCACTGTGAAAGCTTACAAGAAGCAATAGTGTTCAATTATGCCTAATAGATATCTAGAACCAAAGATTATGATATGTATAGAAAAAGAAAGGACAAGGAATTACATACTATGATCTATAAAGTATATCCACATTATTATCAGACATTAAAGAAAAATTCTGTGCTCAGTGGACATCAAGGAAGCAAACTATTGTACAACAGAAAGTGACTACCTAACAGTTTGGAAAATTGCTTCTACATTACAACACATCTTCATAAAGTTTCGGACTTTGACTTCAACAGAAACTAGAGGTTCTAAAAAGCCTGTGTCGCTCACCTTTGTCTATGTGCATATTCAACAAAGGACAATATCCAACATTGTTGACAAGAATAGAATTCATGACAAAAATCTCTGTTTTGTTGATCTTGTCATGCTGATCATTTAGTCTGTTTAGTTTCTCTCTATCTTCTTTAGTTTTTGCTCAAAACACAAAAGATGGTAAAAAAAATCCTCATTTAAGTGCAATCACTCCTATAGTGACAGTCTACTTACTATATCAGCAAAATTTGACATGTTAGTAGACCTTGCCATGCTGATCATTTTTGTGATTCAAAGTGTCTATTTATCTATTACAACTTTTATCATATCAGGCAAAACAAAACAAAAATGGTAAAAAAATCGTCATTAAAGGGCAATAACTCCAAAAATGAGTTGCGGAAAATTTCTTCAATATCGTCTTAATTGTAGATCTTGTCGTACTGATCATTTTTGCTTATTTTATTTAAGTTTCTATCTATCTATTATAATTTTTAAGATATAAGGCAAAAAAATTGTCATCAAAGGACAATGACTCTAGTAAGGAGTCGACTATCGATAGGTGGGGCATAAAAATGTCGGCCATTGTACTTGTGGACCAGTTTTATATTAGCTATTGTTGTTGAAGTATATTTTTATTTGCAAGGTTTATTCTATTTTTTTTTGTAGACAATGCTAATTACACATATACTCACTATCTCTACAAATTTTACAGACTTGTTCATTTTTTCCCTGAAAAATAAATTTCAAATTTGTGTTACAAAAGTACTACATGTACTTTCTTATTTTTATACAACTTGCAATGTATTCATATATGAAAAGAGTAACTTGAAGTACTAATCAATTAATAGATTGATTGTTCTTAGTTTAATGTCCAGTGGCAAATATATATTATCCATATTCAGGACAAAGATAACTCTAACAGTAAACATTATAGTATTAGTTCTGCAAAGTGACCATGGAACAATTGGGATAAATTGCTACAAAATGTGTCTCCCCTGAAAAAATAGGTATGTGGCAGAACAGGTTATCAACAAGTTTTTTTTCTATTTAAAAAGAACATGGTAAGACATCTGATATCCTCATTCCAAACTGACATTACTGTGTATCAATACATCACACGCAGCCAAATGGAGGCCCCCTATCATTGATCTATCTTGCAGATGTAGAAATCCAGGAAATTGTATTTCTATATGCCAATCAAGTAGAATCAACCAATGTGGTCTAAAGAACAAAGAATGCCATGTTTATACCAGTATAGTGTAATGGTATACTAACATAAGAGGTCTATAAACACAGTAGCTCCAAATGGAACCTTTTGTTAGTGGAAGCCATATTAATTATGTGTATCAATGCCATGTTTATAGTTTATGACAAATGCAAAGTGTATCAAACTTTTGATTTTCAATTACGATATAAAATTTTAGATATATAAAAAGTTGACTTTGTATAGATGTTGTACATGTATAAGGGTGGTGATGAACACCCCTATCCCTTATTTTTCACTTTGTCCTTGTACAATGCAAAACCCTATAAATCAAGTAGCAACTGAACAAAATCAACTGCATGAAATTAAGGCTGATATGGTAAAATAACGATACATGTTTATTATCTTTAGTTATAGGCTACAGTGTAAAATCTAGTCAAGTTAAATTTCACTCATTTTTAATCTAGTCTAATCATATTATCAAAATATCATGAAAATTTTCATAATTTTATTTTTTATTTCTTAATTTAAAATTTTTAGTAAACATGTATATCATTTTAGTGTCTATAAACTATGTCTAGTGCTATATCTGTGTCTTTGTAATATTTTGTATCTGTCAAATTCATGCCTTTTTATCTTGAATAAATATATATATATATATAATTACCTTAAGAAGGAAACATTTTGTTATCTGTATCAGGATACATCTCACATCTTCAACAACAGCCTTGGCTAACTGGAAGTCTTCCTGTACACTCCTCAGAGATATATTAAGATCTAGATATATGTACAATGCCTTGTCACAGTTTCCTGTTGGGTTGCTGGCAAACTGTTTGTCTGTCTCTGCTTTCCGAGTCCTTATTAAGGCTATAAGTTTCTATAAAGAGGATAAGTGTACATTCAACTAATGAAATTATCATAAATAACAAAAAAAATACAGGTGTAAGTTAATAATCAAATACTGCTCTCAGTATTTTCTCAATATAAGATTATAAAAACTGGTCTTTTTTGTAGGTCCTATGATAATAGAAATACTTAAGCATCCAGTCTTTTTTTCAGTCTAATAAGTGCTACTAAGGATGTATTCTTTTGATGTTTCAGTCTTGTTGAAATCTCGTTCGGGAATTCTTTCCAAACCGTGTGATACAAGTGGAAAATATCAATGAATTTAAAAAAATATTATAATCAAAATAAGCTCTGTGAAAAAATTGTGTACTTACCATTAGTAGTTTTTGGGTAATAAAAATTTCAAATTTCATAACCAATCTGGTCAGTGTCATCAGCCAAAATGTTGAGAAAATGGGTGAGGGGTACAAAGAAATGATTTTACCAAAATATGTACATCCCATATCATTTTTTTCTTTTAAAAATTCTAAGACATGTATTTTTTTAATCATTTGTAACAAAGAAGTTGAAATAATATGCTTTTTTTCTAAAAAAAAAAAAAAAAAGGGAAAATTCTCAAATTTACAAAATTGACATATTGACACGAAATAACACCAACCTATAGTTTTTTTAAAGTGAATTTTATTCAGATGGGTCCACTTCATCTTTAGTGAAAGTAAAAAAAAAAGTTTAATTGTAAAACTGTGATTTTTTCATGATAATTGCCCAAAAATGGGTAAAAATTGATGAAAATGGGAAAATCATAAAAAATGGGGTACTTTCAAATGGACAATGATGGACATAGCAAAAAAAGAAGTGCACCACCATATGATTTTTTGTTCATCAATTACTTTCTTACAGTTATATAAACCCAAAAATTATGTGAAGAAAAAAAGTTTAAATCTAGAAATGTTTGGATTCTTAGAGGTGTACATCCTTAATAGAAATGGCCAACAAATCAAAGGATTGCTGCTCTTCATATAAAGCTTTCAAGTTGTAGGATGATTTTCAATGATTAAATTCTTGCAACAGGACTAAAATGGCCATTAAGCATTGACTGAAACAGTATATACTCAATTTTATTAATTAGAGTAAATTCTGAAATTAATGTGTCCAATTATTATTGCAAATCACTGACTACTGGTCAAAATTTGAGATCTAATTAATGTGATTACAAATTTTTGTGAAGGGAAACCACTACTGAAATTATGATTAGTGCAAGTGAATTTAAGCAACTATAGGTCAATGTTCTGCCTTTGACAATGAGCAAAACTCTTACAGTATAGCCACCCATAAATGGCCCCGATATGACAAAATCTGAAAATATTCAAATGAAAAAAATAAGGGCCCAATTAAAGACAAAACAACAATCGAAAAACAAACACAACAGACAGCAACCAGTGACAACAAATCAGGTCTATTTTTACTCATGATCTATATCCAATTTGATTGGTTTTTACTAGTTTTTTTTTAAAAACTTTCTCCTCTTAAAACTACTGTGTCCAGTAAAATTTAAAACAATCTACTACTCTGTAAATACAAAGTTTATGGGGACCAATGTTGACCGTCTGGTCATATAGTGTGATTTAAAAAATATGACTTCAGTGCCAATTAAAATTCAGTCATCAGGGGGAGATAATTTAAGGTATATTAGTTATATATCAGAATCAATGTTATGCATATAAGTCAGGTGCCCTTTAGTTTATTCTCAATTTAATTGTGACACTTGAATGCATAATTTTTAGAAAAAAAAGGTAATGGAAATGAAGAATAGGTGTATTAATTCTGACATGCACTTGACAAACCAAAAGCAAAAGACAGGCCCGTAGCCAGGAATTTCCAAGGGGGGTTTACATGGACTTGCGAAGCTCACTTTAACAGTTACAATTCAAACAGAACGTCGACTTAAACAGTGCTTATTTGTTTTCAAGGGGGGTTCATACGAACCCCTCGAACCCCCCTGGCTACGTGTGTGAAAGGACAGCACTAATATTGCTGTTCTTCTTGTATATACATTGATAAATACTTCATTATATTCTTACTACGAAATTTAGTCCTTCTATCAATGGAATCCAGTATGCTAATGCTTCACTGGCATGTACAGGATAAATTTCTAGTTTTTTTATCCAAAATCCTGAAAAAAAACCAATGTTAAATATGAATAAGTGCAATAATTTTCAATATATATAACTAAGTATATAATATTGTGTATACTTTATTTCCAAATGTATTTAAAGAATTGTTGCAAAATTTCTTTTGATTTTTTAATAATTTTTAAAAGTTCAATGATTAAAACCTTTTATGATAGAGGTATTTTAGTCTGTTTCACTCTATCATACATGCTTTACATTGCATGGCTTTATCAATTGTAAATTGCAGTGATATAGCTTTTTTGTGCTGATGTGGCGTAAAGCAATCACCAATCAATCAAATGTAAAATTAGTAGCCATGATCCTTATTTCTCTTTTCTTTGTATTTATGTTCATAACCAATAAGACATTTGTATTTTGTTATTTCAAATAAAAAAAAAAAAACTTTATAGTAATTGGATGATATATAAAATAGAATGATTATACAATTTTCACACCTGTATTTTTGTGTAAATAAATAAATATTACTGTACCTTTATAATAGCATTCTAATGCATACTCATGATCTCCACACTGAAAATATATATATATATATATTAATTGTAATTGATTTTAATTGTAATCTGAACTATTACCAATTTAATACATATCTTTACATGTGTTTTACATCTCGGGGATGCTACATGCAGTTTTCATAATCTTTAAGGTATGTCAGATCCAATAAAAAAAAATAATGATTACAAAAAACTTGTTCATAACATGAACTATAAAACTTGCAAATAACGTATTTGCAAATTTAAAAATTCAAATTTTTAGTTACTTTGATCGGCGAAAATTACATACGAAACCAGAACAATATGTACCTTGGCAGTATTAAACATTTTTCCTTCAACCACAAAAAAATAAACGAATCTACAGTATATTGACTGACAACTGACTGACATACAGTGAAACTTTTTGCATCAATCAAGTTGTTTTGATTCAGAAAGGTATTTGCCTTGAAATAGCATATATAGTATAGAAATAGCTGCAAGCCAATAAAATTCGTAAGGGTTCCGCGGAACCCAGTGTCTCGCCTACTTTTGCTGTTAATCGCAGGCTCAACAAAAATGTGGAAAAAAAATAATAACAATATTACTTTCGATACAATCTTTTTATTGTAAGAAGCTTCTGTCCCAATTTGGTAAAAATCCAAGAAGGTTTATGAATCTAATAAATGTTTTAAATCTTTAACTGCAGACTGTATGTAATGTTAACTGGAAGAAAAACTAAGTCCATTTATAAGTAAAATACTGATAAACAGGTACAAAATTTTTTTAAATTTCCTTCAAGATACTAGCTTTTGATCATAAACAAGCTTCTAACCAAGTTTGGTACAAATCCAGGATAGTTTAAGAAAGTTATTAAAATTTTAAAAACTTTAACCACAGAGTGAATGTAATGCTAACTGGCAGAAAAACTAAGTCCATTTATAAGTTAAATACGGAAAAAATGGAATTTTGTTTTTTACAAATTTACTTCTGGATACTATCTTATGATCATAAACAAGCTTCTGTCCAAGTTTGGTAGAAATCCAGGATAGTTTAAGAAAGTTATTAAAATTTTAAAAACTTTAACCACAGAGTGAATGTCATGTTAACTGGCAGAAAAACTAAGTCCATTTATAAGTAAAATACGGAATAACAGGATTTTTTTTTTTACAAAATTTAATTCTGGATACTATCTTATGATCATAAACAAGCTTCTGTCCAAGTTTGGTAGAAATCCAGGATAGTTTAAGAAAGTTATTAAAATTTTAAAAAATTTAACCACAGAGTGAATGTAATGTTTCCTGGCAGAAAAACTAAGTCCATTTATAAGTAAAATACGGAAAAACTGGATTTTTTTTTTACAAAATTTAATTCTGGATACTATCTTATGATCATAAACAAGCTTCTGTCCAAGTTTGGTAGAAATCCAGGGTAGTTTAAGAAAGTTATTAAAATTTCAAAAACTTTAACCACAGAGTGAATATTTGTGGACGCCGCCGCCGACGACGACGCCGACGGAATGTAGGATCGCTATGTCTCGCTTTTTCGACAAAAGTCGAAGGCTCGACAAAAAGGTCAATCATGATACCCAAAACTACAAACTTAATGATACAAAATCCCTACAAATAAAGCAAAAGAACAGTGCTTTTATTCCTGTTCTTCATCTTAAAGTCACATCGAACTCTTCAACAAAAGGACAAGTTCACACATCTCTCCTAGTTCAAGATGGCCCAATGGTATCTAGCATTCTTTTTGAAGAATTATATGCTAGATGTCAATATATGGCTTCAATGGTGCATTGAAGCACACATTTGCTGGTTTAAATCAACAAATTATACTGGTGGAAAACTATTCAAAGATATAGCAATCTACCTATTTTTAATTTACCTGTTAGTTTAAATACAGAACTATATCAATATATTACCAGTCCAAAATATTAAATCATTATTGAACATACAGGTCTTTTACATCCTAATCTTTAACCATGTATGCAGTCACGTAAGAAAAATCAAAACAGCGAGTGTGTTAAATTATCTAGTGTATAGTTATTACGTCATAATTTTGAAAGCATTTTTAAAAGAAATAATTAATTAAAACATAACATAACATGAAATCAATAACAAACAACAAAAGATATTTTAATGTATATTTAAACTTAACAATCATTCTATGCAAAGATTAAGATTGCATTGTGCTATATGGAACTACAGAGTTTTAAGAAACACTTTATCAGTTCAAAGAAGTGATCAATAGTATATGTGCATTACATGAACAGAAATGATTAATGGGGTGATTCAAATGAACATTTAGTTGAAATTTTCAATGTATCAAACACATTATTTTCTTTCTCAATAATGTTTTAATTATCTTATTCTAACTCAAGCTCAGCATTGTCAAAAGGTTCATGTACATGTATACATGTAGTAATCAATCAACCAGAAATATAAATGCCTAATTTTGTCTAATTGTTCTCCAAGATTTCCTCAAAGGATTTTTAATTGTGCTTTAAAATCAAGAGAATTTTAGCATGTTAATTACTAGAGAAACCATACAGAATGACATTTTTAACTAAAAAAGGCCAAGAAATGAGATAAAACACTTTGACACACTATTCAGGCCAGAAATTTCATGTACACAGTCTTATCTAACTGGTTTGAGTCATTTGCTGCAGAATACTGCTGAAAAATAAACAGGTAACATTAAATTTGCAGACATGAAAAGGTTGAACAAATGTACAACAGAAAAATAAGGAACAGAGAAAAATAAAATGCTCCGCAGGGCGCAGCTTGATACAACCGCAGAGGTCGAACCCTGAACAGTTGGGGCAAGTATGGACACAATATTCAAGCTTGATACAGCTCTGAATTTGGATTGTGATTAAATATTTGACACAGCATAGGTTTCTGACACAGAATGAATGTGGTCTAAGAACTTAAAAATTTTAAATTGGACATTCACCTATTATGGTCCAATATCCAAAATCTAAATACATGGTTAGATTCAGCATATCAAAGAACCCCAAGAATTCAATTTTTGATGAAATCAAACAAAGTTTAATTTTGGACCCTTATGACCTCAATGTGGACAAAGTTGATAACGGGGACCAAAAATCAAAAATCTAAATGCATGGTTAGATTCAGCATATCAAAGAACCCCATATATTCAATTTTTGTTGAAATCAAACAAAGTTTAATTTTGGACCCTGATTTGGACCAACTTGAAAACTGGGCCCATAATAAAAAATCTAAATACATGTTTAGATTCAGCATATCAAAGAACCCTAAAAATTAAATTTTTGTTAAAATCAAACTAAGTTTAATTTTGGACCCTTTGGACCTTAATGTAGACCAATTTGAAAACGGAACCAAAAATTAAGAATCTAAATACACAGTTAGATTCGGCATATCAAAGAACCCCAATAATTAAATTTTTGATGAAATCAAACAAAGTTAAATTTTGGACCCTTTGGACCTCAATGTGGACCAATTTAAAAACGGGGCCCAAAATCCAAAAACTTAATACACGATTAGATTCAGCATATTAAAGAACCCCAAGAATTCAAGAATAAAACCCCATTGAAATTGATCAAGAAATAAGCAATTTATACGAAGTATCTTCTTTTGCACAATACTGTGCAATTGAATATTTCTTGCTATTGCGCAATACTGTACAAATGACAATTTCTTGCTATTGCGCAATATTGTGCTATTGGATATTTCTTGCTATTGCGCAATACTGTGCAATTGAAGATTTCTTGTTATTGCGCAATACTGTGCAATTGAAGATTTCTTGCTATTGTGCAATACTGTGCAATTGAAAATTTCTTGCTATTGCACAATACTTATTATATAATAATTTACACATCCTGTTTGGTGTGTATCTCCTACCATATCATTATTATTTGCTTTTAAATATTAATCAGAAATAACCAACTTAAAATGGAAAATGAAAAAAAAAAAAGGAAAAAAAGAAAAAAAAAGAAAAAAAAAAAATCCCCCCCCCAAATTTTTTGAACCCCCTTATGATTCATCACCCCCAAACTCAATCCCAGCCTTCCCTTTGTGGTATGGTACATTACAGTACAATTTCAGAGAGATCCATACACTTGAACACAAGTTATTGTCTGGAAACTAGAAAAATGCTTATTTTTGGCCCCTTTTTGGCCCCCAATTCCTAAACGTTACAGGCAATTACCCCCAAACTCAATTCCAGCTTTCCCTTTGTGATATGGAACCTTGTAGTACAATTTCAGAAATATCCAAACACTTACACACAAGTTATTGTCATGAAACTAGAAAAATGCTTGTTTTTTGCCCCTTTTTTGGCCCCTAATTCCTAAAATTTTGAGGCAATTACCCCCAAAATCAATTACAGCCTTCCCTTTGTGATAAGGAACCTTGTGGTACAATGTCAGAGAGATCCATACACTTACACACAAGTTATTGTCTGGAAGTTACAAAAATGCTTATTTTTGGCCCCTTTTTGGCCCCTAATTCCTTAACTGTTGGTACCATAACCCCCAAAATCAATCCCAACCTTTCTTTCGTGGTATTGAACCTTATGGTAAAATTTCATGGAGATCCATTCACTTTAACTAAAGTTAGAGTGCGAAAACCAATGTGTCTTCGGACGACGCCGGACGACGCCAGACGACGACGACGCCAACGTCATACCAATATACGACCAAAAAATTTTTAATTTTTGCGGTCGTTTAAAAACCCATAACACCCTACCTAACTTCCCTATTTTCATAAAGGATGAAACCTTAAACCAACAGATGTTTAGTTGGGCCTTATATGGCTCTTCTTTGTTAAATATGAGAATGAGTTCATGCATAGGAAAATATAATACTCCAACACCAATGCATCACATGCATAAACAATAAATATGTAAATCTTAACCTGCTGAAAGATACAACAACAAGTGTTGTATGCTGTAAGCTTGTCTGAATCAAGTGCTGGATCATGTATGTCTTGTAAAATGTCATAAACTTTTATACAGTGCTTCCTAGCTTCACCTAGATCATTCCTCTCTAGGTATTCAACAATTTGATCAAGACAAAGAAGGGCTGCATTCAAATATGCCTTTGACTGAGACACATCCATGTCCATTATATCATCTGGAACTCTCTGATCATAAACTGTAGAAAATGTGTTAGGGCTGATTTCTCTACTAACATGACTATTGCAATCAGGGACTCTTTGGTAAAGTAGTGATTGTTTTCTTGCAATAGGTAAGCTGTCCATCTCAGCAATGTTGTCCTCAGTGGACATGACACTATGGTTGCCTGACATTACTGAATCATCACTATAGTATGGATCAATGTCAGACATGGAATCGGTTTTGGCATTGCCATCTAACATTGTGACTGCATTGTAATCTGTGTCCTCCATATCTTGTAATGGCTGTTGTGCCCAATAACTCACTATTTTCTGACCAAAGTTTTTTAATAACTGAAAGAAAAATAAATAGGTTTACAAGTTTAGATGTAAATAAATGGGGAATGTGTCCATGGGACACAGATGATGCCCCCACTTGCATATCATATAAAGTTATAAAGGGACATAACTGTAGAACGGTAAAAGTGACCCTACCCAAGTTTGTACTTGATCTGAGTTTTGTGGTAATAAGTATTGTGTATAAGTTTCATAACATTTGGTTGAGGCAAACTCAAGTAAGAGAAAGGAAACGAAAAATTCAGCAATTTTTCCATTTGTAAAGGGGCATAACTCTAGAACAGTCATTGACAGTAAAAGTGACACCACCAAAATTCAAACTTGATCTGTATTTTGTGGTAATAAGCATTGTGTATAAGTTTCATAACATTTGGTTGAGGCAAACTAAAGTTGGAGAACAGAAACGAAAAATTCAGCAATTTTTCCATTTGCAAAGGGGCATAACTCTAGAATGGTTAAAGTGACACCACCAAAATTCAAACTTTATCTGTGTTTTGTGGTAATAAGCATTGTGTATAAGTTTTATAACATTTGGTTGAGACAAACTAAAGTTAGAGAACAGAAACCAACTTTGGGACATACGGACGGACGTACAGACAGACAAGGGTATAACTTAATGCTCCCTCCGTTACAGCGGGGCATAAAAAAATCAGAGGAATAATAGATCAACATGTAACTTAGTTTGCAGAACTATTACACAAATGCAATTGCAGAGTTCAATAAAAGCATTGTTATGCTCTAGAGGGGCAGTGACAGTCTAATTATTTGCATCTAGCATATCTAATATGTGTGTACTAGTCTTCTTATATGAATCATATCTAGGTAGTTGAGGCAAACTAAAGGTAGAGAACGGAAACGAAAAATTCAGCAATTTTTCCATTTGTAGAGGGGCATAACTCTAGAATGGTTAAAGTGACACCACCAAAATTCAAACTTTATCTGTGTTTTGTGGTAATAAGCATTGTGTATAAGTTTTATAACATTTGGTTGAGACAAACTAAAGTTAGAAAACAGAAACCAACTTTGGGACATACGGACGGACGTACAGACAGGCAAGGGTATAACTTAATGCTCCCTCCGTTACAGCGGGGCATAAAAAAATCAGAGGAATAATAGATCAACATGTAACTTAGTTTGCAGAACTATTACACAAATGCAATTGCAGAGTTCAATAAAAGCATTGTTTTGCTCTAGAGGGGCAGTGACAGTCTAATTATTTGCATCTAGCAATATCTAATAAGTTTGTACTCAAGTCTTCTTATGAATCATATCTAGGTAGTTTTTTACATAGTTTTTGCCATATAATTCTTTTTAGAAGATTGTGACCATGGGATTATCTAAAATCTTATAAAGAGGAATGATTTTAAGTTCAGATAAAAGGAAATAAAATGCTTCGCTGGGCACAGCTTGATACGACCGCAGAGGTCGAACCCTGAACAGTTGGGGCAAGTATGGACACAACATTCAAGCTTGATACAGCTCTGAATTTGGATTGTAATTAAATATTTGACACAGCATAGGTTTCTGACACAGAAAGAATGTGGTCTAAGAACTTGAATTTTTTTAATTTACCTATTATGGTCCAATGTCCAAAATTAAAATACATGGTTAGATTCAGCATATCAAAGAACCCCATATATTCAATTTTTGTTGAAATCAAACAAAGTTTAATGTTGGACCCCAACTTGGACAAACTTGAAAACTGGGCCCATAATCAAAAATCTAAACACATGTTTAGATTCAGCATATCAAAGAACCCCAAGAATTCAATTTTTGTTAAAATCAAACTAAGTTTAATTTTGGACCCTTTAGACCTTAATGTAGACCAATTTCAAAAACGGGACCAAAAATTAAAAATCTAAATACACGGTTAGATTTGGAATATCAAAGAACCCCAATAATTCAATTTTTGATGAAATCAAACAAAAAAAAAGTTTAATTTTGGACCCTTTTGACCTCAATATGAACCAATTTGATAGCAGGGCCCACAAATAAAAAATCTAAATACACCGTTAGATTTGGCATATCAAAGAACCCCAAGAATTCAATTTTTGATGAAATCAAACGAAATTTAATTTTGGACCCTTTTGACCTCAATATGAACCAATTTGATAGCAGGGTCCACAAATAAAAAATCTAAATACATGTTTAGATTCAGCATATCAAAGAACCCCAAGAATTCAATTTTTGTTAAAATCAAACTAAGTTTAATTTTGGACCCTTTGGACCTTAATGTAGACCAATTTAAAAAAACAGGACCCAAAATAAAAAATCTAAAAACACGGTTAGATTTGGCATATCAAAGAACCCCAATAATTAAATTTTTGATGAAATCAAACAAAGTTTAATTTTGGACCCTTTTGACCTCAATATGAACCAATTTGATAGCAGGCCCACAAATAAAAAATCTAAATACATGGTTAGATTCAGCATATCAAAGAACCCCATATATTCAATTTTTGTTGAAATCAAACAAAGTTTAATTTTGGACCCCAATTTGGACCAACTTGAAAACTGGGCCAAAAATCTAAAATCTAAATACATGTTTAGATTCAGCATATCAAAGAACCCCATATATTCAATTTTTGTTGAAATCAAACAAAGTTTAATTTTGGACCCCAACTTGGACCAACTTGAAAACTGGGCTCATAATCAAAAATCTAAACACATGTTTAGATTCAGCATATCAAAGAACCCCAAGAATTCAATTTTTGTTAAAATCAAACTAAGTTTAATTTTGGACCCTTTAGACCTTAATGTAGACCAATTTAAAAAACAGGACCCAAAATTAAAAATCTAAATACACGGTTAGATTTGGCATATCAAAGAACCCCAATAATTCAATTTTTGATGAAATCAAACGAAATTTAATTTTGGACCCTTTTGACCTCAATATGAACCAATTTGATAGCGGGGTCCACAAATGAAAAATCTAAATACATGGTTAGATTCAGCATATCAAAGAACCCGATATATATTCAATTTTTGTTGAAATCAAACAAAGTTTAATTTTGGACCCTAATTTGGACCAACTTGAAAACTGGGCCAAAAATCAAAAATCTAAATACATGTTTAGATTCAGCATATCTAAGAACCCCATATATTCAAATTTTGTTAAAATCAACCAAAGTTTAATTTTGGACCCTTTGGACCTTAATGTAGACCAATTTGAAAACTGGACCCAAAATTAAAAATCTAAATACACGGTTAGATTCAGCATAACAAATAAATAAATGTGGTCAAAGATTTTAAAAATCTAATGTGCCATACTGTACAATTAAAGATTACTTCTTGAAATTTTTCAATATTTGAAATTTGAAAAAAAAATAATATTTGAAGAATAATTCTTTTTAATTCCTGAAATCTGAAATGAGAAAAAATTGACCCCCCACAATTTCTTTTTACCCCCCCTTTTTTCCCCAAAAAAATTCTTTCCCTCAAGATATGGTCATAATCTCAATTCAAATTTCCAATGGAGTTTGCAACCATAATTACCAATTTAAATTTACCATAGTGCTAACTTAATCTATTTTATAATAGAATTTAAAATATAGTGTCAAATCTTTCATATGGATTTTTTTGTAAAAAAAAAGATGCAACATTTGCAGATATTTTTACTGGTCTTCCTTTATAAATATGCATTTCTTTAAACATAATTTAAAAGCAGTGTAAGGGAAGTAACCAAAACATTGTATTTGGATTACCTCCCTTACACTGTTTTAAATTATCTTAATTGTTCATTAACCATCACTTTATACATAATTTAAAAGCAGTGTAAGGCAGATAATTTCAATGATGTATTTGATTTATCTCCCTTACACTGCTTTAAATTATGTTTTGTACTAAAGTATTTGTACATTAACCAGGACAACCTTGTTTTTCCCCCTTTTTTGCCCCTAATTCCTAAACGGTTTGAGCCACAACCCCCCAAAGCAAATCCTAACCATCCCTTTGTGGTATGGAAACTTGTAGTTTAATTTCAGAGAGATCCATACACCGTTCCACAGTTATTGTCTGGAAACTAGAAAATGCTTATTTTTGGCCCCTTTTTGGCCCCTAATTCCGTAACTGTTGGTACCATTACCCCTAAAATCAATCCCCACCTTCCTTTTGTGGTATTGAACCTTATGGTAAAATTTCAAAGAGATCCATTCACTTAAACTTAAGTTAGAGTGCGAAAACCAATGTGTCTTCGGACGACAACGCCGGACGACGACGACGCCAACGTCATACCAATATACGACCGCAAAAATTTGTTTGCGGTTATATAAAAAGAAGACAAATACTTATCCACAATTTTTAAAACAATTCTATGCATTCTTTACTCTAAAACCCCCCCAAGGGTGATTCGGGAATAGAGATATGGTCACTTTGGTCTTATTCCCACTGGCAGTAAATCCTTGCTCAAGTGATAAGTGTCCATTTAGCTGTGCAGGATGTACAAGTATGCAGCCAAGTCCTCTAAGAATTGGGACATTACATTGGATGATCCGGGTATAGTGCCACATACACTCTCTGCCTGTTATGAACCCTTGCAACAACTCTATGAGGGGTTAGTAGGTGGCTTGTTGCAAGGCAAAACTTCTGTCCTTATATCCAACATACCCTTAAATATTTAAACTTACTTTTGATAAGAAATAGCTTTCAAAGAACAATAGAAAGGTTCAAATTTCAAAGTTAAAGTCAATACTACTCTGTAACAGAGACACTTATTACATAAATTGATGACAAGTACAGAAGTTTATAAGAAAAGGTGCATTAATTGGTAGAATGACAATGTGTTAATGGTTTATTTGATAAAACTCCTTTTCTTCTTGGTACAAAACAGAAAAAGTTGACATTAATGTTTGAAATATAAGTGGACATTTCTAGCATTTAGTGGCAAGATTTCTAATTAACATTTAAGTTATCATGGTTATTTGTACCATGCAATAGAATATCATGCAATACTCATCATGATATAATCTGCTCATACAGTTGTTGAAACAATGTATAATGAGGATTTAAAGTTTGAATCTATGGTGCATGTGGTGTGTATATGTCGATTCTCCATTAAGTTTGCAGAGTTTAAGAGTAACTTAGAGCATATAGAGGTAAGCTCAGAATTAAAATTTGATATTGTGCATGACCATGCAAGTTAGGGCAACATTATTATGTTGTTTACATTAAATGTGAACCTAGGCATTTATCCTTTACATATACATGTATATATATTACACAGAAGGGTTCATTTTTGTCGAGCCTTCAACTTTAGTCGAAAAAGCAAGACATAGCGATCCTACATTCCGTCGGCGTCGTCGGCGGCGGCCACAAATATTCACTCTGTGGTTAAAGTTTTTGAAATTTTAATAACTTTCTTAAACTATCCTGGATTTCTACCAAACTTGGACAGAAGCTTGTTTATGATCAAATGCTAGTATCTAGAAGGAAATTTTGTTTTCTTCCAGTTAACATTACATTCAGTTTAGATCTGCAGTTAAAGTTTTTAAACATTTATTAGATTCATAAACTATCCTGGATTTTTACCAAACTTGGACAGAAGCTTCTTACAATCAAAAGATAGTATCAAGAGGAATATTTTTATTGATTTACTTCCTCATTTTTGTTGAGCCTGCGATTAACAGAAAAAGTAGGCGAGACACTGGGTTCCGCGGAACCCTTACGAATTTAATTATATCATATCAATATGTTTTTATCCTGATAAGTATTTAATATTTGCCACTGGACATATAACACTTAAAATAGTCAAGGATTTGTATATTAAGACGTCATACTATACAAATCCTTGAAAGAGTCCATCAAAACATTTTCTATAAAAAATATTCAAAACCTGTTAAATTTCTAACAATAACTGGTACTACCAGTAGTCACCAGCATACCAGTTGCTCTATTTATTTGAATGTGTTATACATAATAGACTATTTATTTTTTTTTGGTAAAAGATCATATTTTGTTACATGTACATGCATATCTGTATATATGTCCTAAAGCCAAAGGATTATCATATAGTCCTACTGTAAGAATCCTTTATGTCCCTCATTCACCACCAAAACTTTGTGGTCTAAATTTTAGAATAAAACTGAATATTGTTAATATCAAATACTAACATGAAACATGTTAACAGATATAAGTTCGATGCTTTAAATTCTGACAAGAGAAATCCCACCAAATAAAATGATTGCCATTGTTTTCGTTTCTATTTATAGAAATGAAACGTCACACCAAAATGAATATTTACCTTTCAAACACGCTGCAAGATATCACCAACTGCGTATTACATTATCCAAACGAATTACACGTTTTCTTTGAATATTTCATTTTCAAATTTCATCAGATTATATATAAAAAAAATCAATTTCCTCTTTTCATTTTCAATTTCGTTTTGATTATCAATTCCTATGCCTTCGGAGTATAATATTCCGAAAGTGAATTTCCAGGAAATCAGTTTCTACTTTCACTTTGCGCTTCCACTGTGGCAAAAAGAAAAACGAACGTATTAATGGGTGGAATGACCGTGACGAGTTTAGAACATTTGACACAAATTATTCTCATCTGCCGACACAATATCTAAATATTTAGATCAAATGATTTATTTTTATTTTTCTTTATCTTAGACTGCCATGACACATCATCAGTCATTTGGCAGCTTTTATAAGGCACACTGTGACGATAAATAGTCCTCGTACCTTCAAATATCCTCAAACTAGTTGCTAATAATAAAGGAAAAAGGGGGCGTGGATAAAAGGAGTTGTGAATTTGAATATCATTTTTATACTCAAAACAAACTTAATTACCAATAAATTTAAATAAGTCTCCAGGAGAGAGTACATCTAGTTGCAAATATAAGTCATCAAATCACGAATACTAATATGATATACTGTATACATGTAGATATCACAAACCTACATGTAAACTTCCTTGTTGGCTCGGTATTTTAAGAAGTTTCTGTATCAAATGACATAATCGTTTTGCTTTTGCATGTTTGATCAAGACATATCATCTATTTTAACAAGCAGAAATCGGTACACAATGAACGACGCATATAGAATTAATAAAAATCATCAAAAACACACCAAACACCAGTAAATCTTGTTTATGAACTAAACGATATACTTCGTTTACTTTTCATTCAGTATCGTTTAATAGGGTATAAGTTCTTTTTATAAACAAAAATGATCAATTATCATTATTATTTTAACTAAAATAATAATAATAATGAATATATAAATAAATTAAAAAAGGGGAAAAGTGACTTACCTGTGTGCTTCTTGACGTTTGTTTACTACTGTAATTTCGTGCCGAGTATTTATATATATATAATACGCTGATAACATGGAAATTTTGTAGCTATTTATAGTTCTTTGTTGTCAGATTTTCCAGAAAACATTAAACCAATCAACATTTTTTTTCAAAAATATTAGTTTTGACATGACATTTTATTTTAATAAGGAGGGATTCATAATTTCTTTTTGTTAAAATACACTATCATAACGAATCAAAGTATGTGATAATTTACCATTGCTTGAATTTTAATGTATTAAATGAGTATATGATATCATTTTTACTACATCGGTCGCGATATTGACCCCCTTTTATTATTTTCTATGTTACAGATATTTTCCTTGATTTTTTTTATAAAACATTCTAGCTTATCTTCTGTTATTCAAAATGCGCTTCCAGTGACGGATACAGTATTTTTAAAAGCGGACAAGAGGGGCATTTTTGACCTCACCCGCAAAATGTTTTGTTTTTATAATATTGATTGTTGGAGTAAATAACTAGAACAATATTCCTATCAAAATACACAAATCTCCGACGATAAGAATGTCAGAGCCAACTTGGGATTCCTGTATCAGCCCATTCCAACAATATTCATACATGTAAATTGTACTAATTTTACGAAGAGCCTCAATAATTTAGACCCCCTTTACCTGGTTTGGTTTTCAAATTCTAAGAAATAGTAGAATTTCGCAGGAAAAGGTTTTTGGGGCTTATTTTATCCAAAATTGATACAAATGTGAAAAACATCGTCTAGTTTTGCTTGTCAGTAGAGCAAATACTCAGACCGAATCGCTTATTCTGCAATCTGAAAACATCATCAAATACCGCTTTACTTTAATACTTTGCATGGAAATTTGTCTCCTGGGTCCTCCCAACAATGTTAAACATAAAGTATAGGGGTGACATAAGTTAACTGCATAACGTTGGTAACAATACATGTAGTAAGATGAAGTTTAGTAAAGGAAGAGAGGCTGAAATTATAAAGTTATATTACTGTTTAAATCTGTAACAAACAAAAAAATAATATAATAATAAGAGGGAGACCAATTTTGGACATAGACAAGGTGGGATAATTAAGATTATAACATGTCCTTTTCAATATCGGTCGTGGTATCATTTCATGACTCCCATATTAGTCGCAAGCCTATATGGTTCATATGGGTAGACGGATGATGCTGAAGCCGACGGCTAATATGGGGAGACGGATGATGCCGTAGCCGACGGCTCATATGGGTACACAGATGATGCCGTAGCCGATATAGAAAAGGACACGTTATAATATATTTTTCACATATTTAAACACATTCTTAAAAAGGGAAACATTTTGAATTAGTCTCGGACAAGATACATACAAAACGGTATATTTTTCACTAAATAACCGATTATTACTCCTGGGCAGATTCACTGGGGCAATTTTACGATTATTACATGTGCAAAATCCAATGTTTTCCTAACAAGTATATATTAGACAAGATAACTCTTTTTTTTCTTCTTCAGTAAATGACTGGCAAAATCAGTGAAATGGTAAGACATATATAAATAACAAAGTACTAATTATAACTGCTGAAACATTTAGTAAGTAAAATGAGTTTATAAAATTGAGAATGGAAATGGGGAATGTGTCAAAGAGACAACAACCCGACCATAGAACAGACAACAGCAGAAGGTCACCAACAGGTCTTCAATGCAGCGAGAAATTCCCGCACCCGGAGGCGTCCTTCAGCTGGCCCCTAAACAAATATAAAATGGAATGGCAGTGCATGATCGGGGATATTTCTTTTGTATGACTGCTTAAATTGCTTTATTTTTAAGGAAATTTGACTGAATTTAGGAATTTAATAGGAATGGAATTCAAGAAGCCTGGATTTCAGTGGCTGTTGTTGGTTGCTGTCTGTCAATTATTTTTTTCGTTTATTTTTGGTCATAAATAAGAGCGTTGATTTTCTCATTTGAATTGTTTCACATTTTGTCATGTCGTATAGTCCAGGACGGGTATTGCTTATTGTTGAAGTCCGTACGGTGACCTATTATTGATTTGATGGATTATTTCATATCACATCTCCTTATTTTTATAGACTGATATACCTTGTAATTAGCTAAGCCGTTGTTATGTATAAAAATAAATGAATAAAGGTAAACGTTAATATTAGATATTGTTATTTTGATCTCTGATTGAAAAATAGATATTTCACAAATCACAAGCACTGTCAAGATCACACAATTTACAAATGCGATGGTAAAGTTCTGCCACTACAGAAAATATCCTTGCAATGAAAATTTTCAATTTTTAAGATATCCACTAGTATTTGATGTACAATATTAAACATTTTCTAAAAATAACTTCTCGTCAGCGATATCAGAAATCAATAATGAAAATCAAATAGCAAACAACAACCTTTAAATAGCAGAAAAGAAAACGCATAAATCTGTCCACGAACAGCAGTGCATCGGAAGGATAACCTTTTCAGTTTTATCAATTCTAATTAATTAATAGATATGTGGTATGAGTGCCAATGAGACAACTCTCCATCCAAGAGATGTTCAATCCGATCTTTCTATTTAATTTTTTAAAAATCATTTTTTTTTTTAGAAAATGAATTGTTCAAATCAATACATTCTAATAGATTAACAATGACATTCCACAACGCCATTCCTTCCTTCACTGACGTGTTTAATATTTAAACTATCAGATATAGTGTATATATCTATTTTTAGCATTCTTATGTAGGGTGTTGTAAATGTCATACGAATACCCATTATGAACAGAGCTATGAGCGTGATAAATTTTGTCATCAAATTGTAAGGTGGCATTTTTTCCCTATATGTCTATTACATGTAGAACCAAAAAAAAAAGAAGCTTTTTAATGCAAAGCAAATAAAGAGTGTTATGTCTAAGCGTGTTAGATGTAAAGTGTTTTTTTCCCTTCATTTTACAGACAAGATAATGTATAATAAACTGGAGGATATAAACTAGATAAATATTTTAAAGTCACCGCGACGGAAAATTTGACAAGTTAGCGAAATCATCTTCTCATGATGGAAAACTAACTGCTAACTGGAAAGCAGAAACTCCTGATACAATTGGTTATATTAGTAAGCGCAAACATTTAATTTAATCCGATATCATTTCACAGACGCATTGCAAGACATGGACACCAGATTATGAATGCATTCTTATACGATGCAGTAGCAGTTGACGCAAGCAGCAAACAAACAAAGACACTGATAGGATAAACTAAAACCAAAGAGACTAGTTAAACAGATAAACATGCTAGACGACAGGAATTTATAAAACACGTAACTATTTCTAAATCATATAATTCTGAAAATGAGATCTACTAAAGTCTACACAATGAAGTGTCAAAATCAATCATCAGCTTGACAAAGGATAAAACAACTGCATGGACAGTAAACTACAAAAAAAAACCAAGATACTATCTCATTATCAAACATACCGAATCTTCAGTTGAACATTTTTTCTTTATATAAAGAAAAGTGCTAAGAGACGGACGTTTGAAAAGACAATAAGTCAAATATTTACAAATTACACGATACTGCTGGAGGCAATATAGTTATCAAAACACAAAGGACGGGACTGGATTGCAACTGAATAACCGGTATATATACAAGAAGTGGGAAATATGATACCACGGAAGATGAATTTGAAACTAGCTCACCTGTTTCGTGTGTTTCTAATACACGGGTGTCATTCGGTATATCGAGAAAAATGATCGTGAAAAAATAACTAACGGTGGTCAAGCATTGCGATTGGATCGTGAAAGATCTGGTATCGGATCGTGAATACAATTAAGTGTAATTCTACTTCAAAATCTGTTAAAAAACGCTGTATTTTCAAAAGGTGAAACAAATCAGAAAAAAAAATTATGTCTGTCAAAATAATTCAACATCCTTAATAATACTGTGTACTACTTTAAAGAAAAAATGCAGTACTTTTTAAGAAAACACAAAAGGCCACACACGATCCAACGAGAATCATTAAGAATAAACACGTTTTGTATCTATAATGGTCATATTCTAATATAGTGTGTCAGATAGTCCAGTAAATAAAAGTATGTTATTACTTGAAAAAAATCATATTATTTTTGAAAAAGTATAATTTTGTTGATTTTTAATCAAAATTGATCGTGAAAGATCAGGCAACGCATTATATTGATCGTGAAAGACGAGGTGTGACCAGGCTTAATGATCAGAAAACAACATTTCTTTTACAAATTGATATACTTGTAATTGGTTGAAGTGGGTAATCACTTACTAAGAACGTTAATTAATGCTTAATTTGGAGTGAAATATAATTATATACATGTATACATATAAACCCATATTTAGACCTGTTGTCATTTAAGAGGCAGTGCTAACTAGGAATCCAAGATAATAAGACCTCCAAGAGCGCAAATTGTCGAAAAGTAAATATCTTTGTATTTATAATGCTAAATGCATCCACGAATATGTGAAGCGAGAGGGGATCTGGTGGTCTTCCCCTTGAAATATCTTAATATGTGCGTT